TATAGGTAGTTTACTCAGGTAGTTATTGTAGGTTATTGTAGGTAATTATTGTCGGTAAGTATTGTATTCGGCGGACCCCGGCGAAGCACGAGGCTAGCTTACCCACTACTTGGACCAACAAAGCTAGCTAGCTAGCTAGCGGGTAGCTACTGGTAACTTTTAGCAACTGTGGTTAGTTGTTTCCAATGTTATTTCACGCTTAAGAGTACCTGTGATTGAGCCAGCTAGCTGCCACCATTCAGCTGTTTTTCTAACCTCATTATCCGAGGCATTAACGTTAGGTGGTTGGTAGCTGCTGTACTTAATTACAGCTACTGATTGCAGTCTGCCAGTTTGGCTTTATACATAGCTTGGGCTTTGTCGAGTAAGGCTTAAACTATGTATTTAGATTGTAGTTAGGTATTATAGGTAGGCATCGTGGGCTGTATATTATTAAGTAGTATAGGTAGGCATCGTGGGCTGTTGTGGGTAGTTGTTGTGTAGTTATTGTAGGTTACTTTTGTATTCGGCGGTGCCGGGTGTAGCACGAAGCTAGCTAGCTAACTCACCTCCTGGATTAGCTGGCGAGTAGCTATTAGCAACGGTAGCAACTAAAAACAATATCCTTTTAGCCAGCTACATTCGTTCGCAGCGACGCCGTTTTTCAAACAAAGTCAACACAGCAGCCATTGCTAGCTAGCCAACACTACCAGCTGGCTGTACTGTAGTAGCTAAATACAATATCTTTGTGCTAGCTAGCCAACGTTTAATCATTGCTGCGTTATGAAAGAACTAGACACGGACACGAATTATCTGTTTAGTGTGTTCACACACTATTGGTAGTTTGTTGTAACCAAGTATTGGTGCTAAACTGTGTGTTATTGGATGCTAGCATGCTAGTTAGCTATGGCGTCATAGTTAGCTAGCTGAATAAAGTAAGTTGAGTCTATTCATTGAAACATTGAACCGCTGTAGTTTACAACAATTCTAATTTCTAAAGTGGAAGTTGGGAGAGTTTTATTCGGGTGGTTCAGTGAAACAATTATAGTTTCTGAGGTGGAAGTTGGGAGAGTTATATTTTTTTGGTGAGGGAGGCCTGCTCTCTCCTTTCCCAGATGTTTAGTTCATTTCATTCCGATCTCCTCTGCATTATTGTAGCCATCTGCTGCAGCCTGTCAACTATGCCTCTACCTATCCCTGTTCTCTCCTCTCCGCACAGGCTACACAAACGCCTCACACCGCGTGGCTGCTGCCTCTCTAACCTGGTGGTCCCTGCACGCACCACACACACCTGGAGATCCAGGTCTCAGGCAGCCTCTGGAACTGCCGTTCTGCCGCCAACAAGGCTGACTTCATCCCAGCCTATGCTACCCTCCAGTCCCTCGACTTCCTGGCGCTGACGGAAACATGGATTACCACTGAAAACACTGCTACTCCTACTGCTCTCTCCTCGTCTGACCATGTGTTCTCGCATACCCCGAGAGCATCTGGTCAGAGGGGTGGTGGCACAGGAATCCTCATCTCTCCCAAGTGGTCATTCTCAATTTTTCCCCTAACCCATCTGTCTATCTCCTCATTTGAATTCCACGCTGTCACAGTCACTAGCCCATTTAAGCTTAATATCCTTGTCATCTATCGCCCTCCAGGTTCCCTTGGAGAGTTCATCAATGAGCTTGACGCCTTGATAAGTTCCTTTCCTGAGGATGGCTCACCCTTCACAGTTTTGGGGGATTTCAACCTCCCTACGTCTACATTTGACTCATTTCTCTCTGCCTCCTTCTTTCCACTCCTCTCCTCTTTTGACCTCACCCTCTCACCGTCCCCCCCTACTCACAAGGCAGGCAATACGCTTGACTTCATCTTTACTAGATGTTGCTCTTCTACTAATCTCACTGCAACTCCCCTCCATGTCTCCGACCACTACTTTGTATCCTTTTCTCTCTCGCTCTCCTCCAACACTACTCACTTTGCCCCTACACAGATGGTAACGCGCCGCCGCAACCTTCGCTCTCTCTCTCCCACTACTCTCTCCTCTTCCATCCTATCATCTCTTCCCTCTGCTCAATCCTTCTCCCTCCAATCTCCTGATTCTGCCTCCTCAACCCTCCTCTCCTCCCTTTCTGCATCCTTTGACTCCCTGTGTCCCCTATCCTCCCGGCCGGCTCGGTCCTCCCCTCCAGCTCCGTGGCTTGATGACTCATTGCGAGCTCACAGAACAGAGCTCCGGGCAGCGGAGCGGAAATGGAAGAAAACTAAACTCCCTGCCGACCTAGCATCTTTTCACTCCCTCCTCTCTACATTTTCTTCATCTGTTTCTGCTGCTAAGGCCACTTTCTACCACTCTAAATTCCAAGCATCTGCCTCTAACCCTAGGAAGCTCTTTGCCACATTCTCCTCACTGCTGAATCCTCCCCCCCCCCCCCCCCCCCCCCCCTCCTCCCTCTCTGTGGATGACTTCATCAACCACTTTGAAAAGAAGGTTGATGACATCCGATCCTCGTTTGTTAAGTCTAATGACACTGCTGGTCCTGCTCACACTGCCCTACCCTATGCTCTGACTTCTTTCTCCCCTCTCTCTCCAGATAAAATCTTGCGACTAGTGACTGCAGGCCGCCCAACAACCTGCTCGCTTGACCCCATCCCCTCCTCTCTTCTCCAGACCATCTCCGGTGACCTTCTCCCCTACCTCACCTCGCTGATCAACTCATCCTTGACCGCTGGCCATGTCCCTTCCGTCTTCAAGAGAGCGAGAGTTGCACCCCTTCTCAAAAAACCAACACTCGATCCCACTGATGTCAACAACTACAGACCAGTATCCCTTCTTTCTTTTCTTTCCAAAACTATTGAGCGTGCCGTCTTTAGCCAACTCTCTTGCTATCTCTCTCAGAATGACCTTCTTGATCCAAACCAGTCAGGTTTCAGGACTGGTCATTCAACTGAGACTGCTCTTCTCTGTGTCACGGAAGCTCTCCGCACTGCTAAAGCTAACTCTCTCTCCTCTGCTCTTGTCCTTCTAGACCTGTCTGCTGCCTTTGATACTGTGAACCATCAGATCCTCCTCTCCACCCTCTCCGAGCTGGGCATCTCCGGCGCGGCTCACTCCTGGATTGCGTCCTACCTGACCGGTCGCTCCTACCAAGTGGCGTGGCGAGAAGCTGTCTCCGCACCACGTGCTCTCACCACTGGTGTCCCCCAGGGCTCAGTTCTAGGCCCTCTCCTTTTCTCCCTATACACCAAGTCACTTGGCTCTGTCATATCCTCACATGGCCTCTCCTATCATTGCTATGCTGACGATACACAACTAATCTTCTCCTTTCCCCCTTCTGATAACCAGGTGGCGAATCGCATCTCTGCATGTCTGGCCGACATATCAGTATGGATGACGGATCACCACCTCAAGCTGAACCCTGGCAAGACGGAGCTGCTCTTCCTCCCGGGGAAGGACTGCCCGTTCCATGATCTCGCCATCACGGTTGACAACTCCATTGTGTCCTCCTCCCAGAGTGCGAAGAGCCTTGGCGTGACCCTGGACAACACCCTGTCGTTCTCCGCTAACATCAAGGCGGTGACCCGATCCTGCAGGTTCATGCTCTACAACATTCGGAGAGTACGACCCTGCCTTACACAGAAAGCGGCACAGGTCCTAATCCAGGCACTTGTCATCTCCCGTCTGGATTACTACAACTCGCTGTTGGCTGGGCTCCCTGCCTGTGCCATTAAACCCCTACAACTCATCCAGAATGCCGCAGCCCGTCTGGTGTTCAACCTTCCCAAGTTCTCTCACGTCACCCCCCTCCTCCGCACACTCCACTGGCTTCCAGTTGAAGCTCGCATCCGTTACAAGACCATGGTGCTTGCCTATGGAGCAGTGAGGGGAACGGCACCTCCGTACCTTCAGGCTCTGATCAGTCCCTACACCCAAACGAGGGCATTGCGTTCATCCACCTCTGGCCTACTGGCTCCCCTTCCTCTGCGGAAGCATAGTTCCTGCTCAGCCCAGTCAAAACTGTTCGCTGCTCTGGCACCCCAATGGTGGAACAAGCTCCCTCACGACGCCAGGACAGCGGAGTCACTCACCACCTTCCGGAGACATTTGAAACCCCACCTCTTTAAGGAATACCTGGGATAGGATGAAGTAATCCTTCTACCCCCTTCACAGTCCCCAAGTCTCTCTCTCCCCCCCCCCCCCCCCCCCCCCCCCCCAAAAAAAAAAATAAAAAAAATGGTAAAGTGGTTAACCCACTGGCTATAGGGTGAATGCACCAATTTGTAAGTCGCTCTGGATAAGAGCGTCTGCTAAATGACTTAAATGTAAAATGTAAATGTACTTGATGTGGAATAAAGTTCCATGTAGTCATGGCTCTATGTAGTACTGTGCGCCTCCCATAGTCTGTTCTTGACTTGGGGACTGTGAAGAGACCTCTGGTGGCATGTCTTGTGGGGTATGCATGGATGTCCGAGCTGTGTGCCAGTAGTTCAAACAGACAGCTTGGTGCATTCAACATGTCAATACCTCTCACAAATACAAGTAGTGATGAAGTCTTTGATCAAGTTCGTGTGGGTCAAACAAAAACTCCCAAATGATTCGTTGACAATAGAGCCTCCCACAATGCAGGATGAAGTTGGTGAAGAGGAACAGCAGAAACGTGCAGTCAAAGCTTCATGACCTTTGATCACAAAAGTTCGCACGTCTGAAAATGTGTATTCTCATAATGAAAGGCGACAAAAGTGAACTGCTTTCAAGACAACTCGGAAACTCCAAGTTAAAATGTGCGTACATTTTTGTTAAGAGCTTCCTATTGATTTATTCTGATACAGGACATTCCAAGTGGAAAACTCGGAGAAACGCTATGTTCACGTGCTATCGGAACGTCCCGAGTTAAAACGAACGTAGGTTATCTGCGTAGAGATTGTTATTGGTTGATTCTGATACTTTCAATTGGGAAACTCAGAGCTCATGTTTCCGAGTTGTCTTGAACGCGGCATGAAACATGCACTATGTGACGCAAACGACCTCAACTCTTCATTACCAAAATGGAGGACTACTCATCGAAGCAGTCAGTAGAAAATCTTGACAATCCTCCAAACAGTCGCTTGTTTCTCGTAACAAGTCGATCAGTTTCAGATGATGTTATTCGAGAGAAATTTTCTGTCTTTGGAGAGATCCAAGGTGTATGGGTCGTTAAGGACAAACAGACGAAAGAATCGAAGGGGATCTCCTATGTTAAATTTGCGAAGTCTTCGGAAGCATGCACCGCCATGGAGGACATGCATGGAAAATGCCTGTTAGACGGAACGAAGCCCATTAAGGTTTGCATGCACATAAATCTAAACTTAATATGTGCCATCATCCTCTAAGTCTCTAACATATACTATTTATTTCCTTGGGTAATTTTTTTATTGATTCCATGCTGGGCCCGGTTTCCCGATATCGATGGAATTTAGGTTTACGCAAGTTTTAACGATGCACTTTTCCTACAATGGCCCGAAACACCAAGCAGAGAAAATGGTCGCTACAGTGCGTCGTCGGAGAAGGTCAATATTTATAGGATGGAAATATAGGGAGCTCTGTTCTAGGATCAGCTTTCTCCATTCAAATCTTTCCTTGAAGGTGCATTATTTAGAAATCGCTCCGCCATTTCTTGATTGCTTCTAATAGTTAAACTGAAATTAGTCTATCTGACAAAGCAAACAATGTATAGTGTAGAGAATCATTGTACCAATTAAACCGCTGTGATATATTTTCATTAACCAGGGCCGGATGCAATTCCACAATATTTACATGATAGACATTAGCTGAATCATTTTTAATACCACAAATGACCGAAATGAGTGGCTAATCTGACACTGACAAACAGATCAATCTGGTCTTGAATTCAAACAAACAATAGCTCTGGCAAATGACATGACATACAGATTGTACAATAGTAGGAAGATGTGTGTGTGTGTGTATGATAGGCTACTAAATAACATTTCCAGTGGCACACTGACTCACCTAATGTCGAAGCCATAAGCTACTACTCACAGTGTTGGCTGATGCGCTCGTCTTGGCAAAAGCATATCTCAAGATGAGCTACTTTGAAAAACAATGCTGTTGTTCGCAAAACATTTGGAGTTGTTGAGAAAAAAATTATCGATTGGTTCGACAGATTAGTCTTCTCATTTCAGCAGTAGGTATTTGCTTTCCAAAGTATGTTTTTCCCTCGATAGTATTTTGAGATTTGCAAAAGGACAGAGAAATATAATCCATAGATGTCAGTTCCCATTTAAATCAGGACTGGCAGCCGGTTTAATGCAGGGGCTTTAATAGTCAAATAGCCAGGGTAAGAGGTTCCAAACCCCTTCTATGGATTATTTCTATGGCCACAACGCTACAAGCTGTATATTTGGCGTGCATGCTGGCCAAATTGCGGGCTTCCCGACTGTGGCAACCAGTAACTGCCTAAATAAATAAAACGCTTAGTAAATTGGGGATACAAATAATGTTATGGTGAGGGGTGCATTTCCCTGGCATGGTTTAGGTCCACTTGTAGAATCTATCTATGCCAAGGCGCATTGAAGCTATTCTGGCAGTTCATGGTGTCCAAACACTCTTTTAAGACACTATGTTGGTGTTTCCCTTATTTTGGCAGTTACCTGTATGTGCTTGTGATAAAATGTAATCCACAGTTATGTTTTTTAGTCTGTGGCTACATTATGCTCTCTGGTCTAATTTGAACATTGACAGTGGGCTCCTGTGGTTGGATAAAAAAAAAGTAATAAAAAAAGTGTGGCCCTAGACTCACACAATTGACCAGTCACATTTATTTGTTATTTTATTAATCAGGTACCCAATCAACGCAGGGCCCCCCAGTTACCCACGTGTGCCCCCTACCACCTCTCCTCCACCATCTGACGAGAGGCAGCAGGCAGGAGCAGGATGTCTACACTCATTGAGAGCGGGCTCCTGAATCCTGTGGTTGGCGGTTGCAGTAAAAAAGTATATACATTGCTATGAAAAAGTATTTGCCCCCTTTCTAATTTTCTCCACTTTTGCATATTTGTGATACAGAATGTTATCAGATCTTCAACCAAACCTACTATTAGATAAAGGGAACATAAGTGAACAAGTAACACAAAAATTATATATTTATTTCATCAACAAAGTTATGCAGCACAGGCCGAAGATGTAACATGCATTTCCCCAAACACCATGCAGAGAGAACGGTCACTAAGTGTGTCGTTGGACCATGTTTCGCTACTGATCGGATCGAAAGGGAGCGCTGTTCTCGAACAGCTTTCTCCATTCAAATCTTACCATTAAAATTATTTGACAATACTGACGACACTATCAGCTCCTAGTGAGATATTACCACCTGCGGCTGCACATATTGAGGCGGCTTATTCTAATAATTACCCAATACAAATGCACTAAATCGCAGATTTGGCACATTGTGCGCATGTTAGGCTACACATCATGAAAAATATTGAGACAAATTAGACAGGCCTATAGCGACACTTGAGGCATTCTAATTGTCTACAGACATGTCGTTAGAGCAAGTATAAGTAGAGCAAGTAGCAAAGTAGAACTCAATTGATTGAACATAAAATGTATTTCAATATGTATGAATAAATAGGCCTATAGCCTACTGTTTATATTTTAATGCAGTCATTCCGGTTTTCATTTGAAGCATCTTTGTATACGTAGATTGTTTGTATCCATTGCAAAGACTTGCAACTTTATTTGTAGTCAACTTTGTTCTGAAGTTAGCAGCAGTCAGAGACTGATAAACAATGTGATTCCCTGTTTAGTGGACATCTGTGTATGATGGCAAAAAAGCATAAAAAAATTATAATTGTATTTTCAATAAATGTATAAATGCGTGGACAACACGCAGTTAAAATGGCTAAAAGTAAGGATTTAAAAATGAAATGCAAAAGGAGCTATCAAAATGTGCCAAGACTTCTCCCTAAATCTCTCAAATTCAAATCTGGACTTCGAAGACAGTTTCACTGCTTATTTTTACAGTCTTCCCCTCTAATCAGGGACTGATTTTAGACCTGGGACAGCAGGTGGGTGCAATTAGTTATCAGGTAGAACAGAAAGCCAGCAGTACTCTGGACCTCGGGTAAGATTTGAATACCCCTGCCCTACATCCTTTATACTTTTTCATAACGACAACGACAAGTTTGATGTCAGACGACAATAGCATGTTCATGATGTCGCCACGACAGGCTGGTTTACAGTCAGTCTGTCAACGTCTGTAGACAATTGTCGTAGCGACATCAAACTTGTTGTTATGAAAAAGTATAAACACAAAATGACAGCCTCTGCATGAATGACATCAGCAGCCCGGTGCTCCAAATAGCATACTTTCTATATTTTAACACCAATAAACCCATCTGTTTTAAAAATTTATTCAGTAAATGTACATCTAGAAAGCCAGGGAACTAAAATGAATTTTCCAAACAATGTTTTAGTTTGTTACTTGCTAGCTAGTTCAGATAATGACCAGAATATAGCTGACAACGTCTTAACTTTAGCTACTTTTTCTTCATTACAGGAAAATAAACCTACATCATTATTTACAAGGTAATGGCGAGCTTACCGAAAATAGCTTACTGCCACAGTGTGACGAAATAATAGTAGGTCATTCTATCTGAAAATTTTACAGGAGGATCTTGTTACAGGAGGATTTGTTCTGGTTGCTGTGGCAGTCTGGTAATCATGACAACAGATGTTGCCACAGTCGCAGATAAACATTTTTCACGTCTGTGGGACAACGAAACTGACAGTCGCAGCGACGGTCTACAGACATTCCACTGGAGTATAAATTAAACGTTTTCAACAGCGACACTTGAGGCATTCTAATTGTCTACAGACATGTCGTTAGAGCAAGTATAAACCAGCCTTTAGGGGTATAACATAGGAGAAGCATTTGAGTTAAGTCACACTGAAATGATTGTACCTGTTTAGCGACACGTGTCCCACATCGGAAGGTAGTGGGGTATTATTTGTCATAAGTATATTATGCTGTGTATGTATGGTCAGTGAGTTGGAAAAAAGTATTTGATCCCCTGCTGATTTTGTACGTTTGCCCACTGACCAAGAAATGATCAGTCTATAATTTAATGGTAGGTTTATTTGAACAGTGAGAGACAGAATAATATGGAGGTGGAAACATTATGCTTTGGGGGTGTTTTTCTGCTAAGGGGACAGGACAACTTCACCGCATCAAAGGGACGTTGGACGGGGCCATGTACCGTCAAATCTTGGGTGAGAACCTCCTTCCCCCAGCCAGGGCATTGAAAATAGCTCAGCTGGTAGAGCACGGCGCTTGTAACGCCAAGGTAGTGGGTTCGATCCCCGGGACCACCCATACACAAAAATGTATGCACGCATGACTGTAAGTCGCTTTGGATAAAAGCGTCTGCTAAATGGCATATTATTATTATTATTATTATTATTTATTCCAGCATGACAATGACCCAAAACACACGGCCAAGGCAACAAAGGAGTGGCTCAAGAAGAGGCACATTAAGGTCCTGGAGTGGCCTAGCCAGTCTCCAGACCTTTAATCACATAGAAAATCTGTGGAGGGAGCTGAAGGTTCGAGTTGCTAAACGTCAGCCTCGAAACCTTAATGACTTGGAGAAGATCTGCAAAGAGGAGTGGGACAAAATCCCTCCTGAGATGTCTGCAAACCTGGTGGCCAACTACAAGAAACATTTGACCTCTGTGATTGCCAACAAGGGTTTTGCCACCAAGTACTAAGTCATGTTTTGCAGAGGGGTCAAATAGTTATTTCCCTCATTAAAAAGCAAATCAATTTTTAACATTTTTGACATGCGTTTTTCTGGATTATTTTGTTGTTATTCTGTCTCTCACTGTTCAAATAAACCTACCATTAAAATTATAGACTGATCATTTCTTTGTCAGTGGGCAAACGTACAAAATCAGCAGGGGATCAAATACTTTTTTCCCTCACTGTACAGTTGAAGTCGGAAGTTTACAGTGGGGAAAAAAAGTATTTAGTCAGCCACCAATTGTGCAAGTTCTCCCACTTAAAAAGATGAGAGAGGCCTGTAATTTTAATCATAGGTACACATCAACTATGAGGGAAAAAAATCCAGAAAATCACATTGTAGGATTTTTTAATGAATTTATTTGCAAATTATGGTGGAAAACAAGTATTGGTCAATAACAAAAGTTTCTCAATACTTTGTTATATACCCTTTGTTGGCAATGACACAGGTCAACCGTTTTCTGTAAGTCTTCACAAGGTTTTCACACACTGTTGCTGGTATTTTGGCCCATTCTTCCATGCAGATCTCCTCTACAGCAGTGATGTTTTGGGGCTGTCGCTGGGCAAAATGGACTTTCAACTCCCTCCAAAGATTTTCTATGGGGTTGAGATCTGGAGACTGGCTAGGCCACTCCAGGACCTTAATGCTTCTTACGAAGCCACTCCTTCGTTGCCCGGGCGGTGTGTATGGGATCATTGTCATGCTGAAAGACCCAGCCACGTTTCATCTTCAATGCCCTTGCTGATGGAAGGAGGTTTTCACTCAATCTCACGATACATGGCCCCATTCATTCTTTCCTTTACACGGATCAGTCGTCCTGGTCCCTTTGCAGAAAAACAGCCCCAAAGCATGATGTTTCCACCCCCATGCTTCACAGTAGGTATGGTGTTCTTTGGATGCAACTCAGCATTCTTTGTCCTCCAAACACGACGAGTTGAGTTTTTACCAAAAAGTTATATTTTGGTGTCATCTGACCATATGACATTCTCCCAATCCTCTTCTGGATCATCCAAATGCACTCTAGCAAACTTCAGACGGGCCTGGACATGTACTGGCTTAAGCAGGGGGACACGTCTGGCACTGCAGGATTTGAGTCCCTGGCGGTGTAGTGTGTTACTGATGGTAGGCTTTGTTACTTTGGTCCCAGCTCTCTGCAGGTCATTCACTAGGTCCCCCCGCGTGGTTCTGGGATTTTTGCTCACCGTTCTTGTGATCATTTTGACCCCACGGGGTGAGATCTTGCGTGGAGCCCTAGATCGAGGGAGATTATCAGTGGTCTTGTATGTCTTCCATTTCCTAATAATTGCTCCCACCGTTGATTTCTTCAAACCAAGCTGCTTACCTATTGCAGATTCAGTCTTCCCAGCCTGGTGCAGGTCTACAATTTTGTTTCTGGTGTCCTTTGACAGCTCTTTGGTCTTGGCCATAGTGGAGTTTGGAGTGTGACTGTTTGAGGTTGTGGACAGGTGTCTTTTATACTGATAACAAGTTCAAACAGGTGCCATTAATACAGGTAACGAGTGGAGGACAGAGGAGCCTCTTAAAGAAGAAGTTACAGGTCTGTGAGAGCCAGAAATCTTGGTTGTTTGTAGGTGACCAAATACTTATTTTCCACCATAATTTGCAAATAAATTCATAAAAAATCCTACAATGTGTTTTTCTGGAAATGTTTTTCTCAATTTGTCTGTCATAGTTGACGTGTACCTATGATGAAAATTACAGGCCTCTCATCTTTTTAAGTGGGAGAACTTGCACAATTGGTGGCTGACTAAATACTTTTTTTCCCCACTCTAACATCTGAATTGGACCAAAACATTTTCTAACAATGAGTAAGACATGAGGATTCCAAAGAAATTGTTAAAAGCCACCAACGGACCCCCCCCCCCCCAAACACATTTTTCCTATTTGTATGCCTCTTTAGTCCAGGGTGCATTGCATGGTGCTGTTGCAAATGTCAAACTCCACTCTGTGAGGCACATCGATCTGCAGGTTAAACATGGTGAGATTGTAGACTCCTATATTGATTTTGCAGTTTGTTTAGGTGATTTTACAGCGAACTAGATACTTCAAATGCTGAAATTGACTTTGGTATTATTGTGTGTAGCTAGCCAGCCCATAGAGAGCATTGTGGGTTTTGTAGCCAACTTGAGCTGCAACATATTTCCACAACAATAGTAATTGTTGTGGATAACTGATATTTTCATCTGTCACATCAAACCGCTTGCTTTTGACAACCGTGTTTTCCCGCTAATTGCATTATGGAACGAACATTCGCGCGTAGCCTACTGCCTTGTGCGCATTGCTGCGCTTATGTGAAGAAATGATAGTTTATCAACATTTTTAAGCTGAACGTTCTGATCTGTTGCATCACTCATTGCTTTTTTAAACTTTTTATTTTATTTTATTTTTTATGTAGCCTAGGCCTACTGGTTGTATGAATTTGGGATCTATCGTCCCACAACTGTCAGTCTGTTTGGAATAGGCTATTTCCTTCTCGACAAGATGACCAATAGAATAGGTAAACTTTTCTACTATGTGGGATAATAGATTGACATAGGCTAGTGATTTTGCTGTTCGCTACTAGTCTTGTTGGCTGAGGAAAAGTAAATGTGGGCATTAGAATTTGGTAAGAAGGACCGCACATTGTTGCGTCCTCGACTTGCATGTTCTCTTAAGATGATTTGCCATAATCTAAAGCACCGTGGGTGGATGCTCTAATTGGGTTTCCTAACGAAAACCCTGTGTTAGACATACAACCATACGATGTTTGGCAAACACTATTTTAGGCTAAGGCATACAGTGCATTCTGAAAGTATTCAGACCCCTTCACTTTTTCCACGTTGTTACTTTACAGCCTTATTCTAAAATTGATTTAAACAAATGTTTTTCCACAATCTAAACACAATACCCCATTTTTTAAATATTTTTTTTACGTATTTACATAATTATTCGGACCCTTTGCTATGAGACTCGAAATTGAGCTCATGTGCATCCTGTTTACATTGATCATCCTTGATGTTTCTGCACCTGTTGATTGGACATGATTTGGAAAGGCACACACCTGTCTATATAAGGTCCCACAGTTGACAGTGCATGTCAGAGCAAAAACCAAGCCATGAGGTCGAAGGAATTGTCCGTAGAGCTCTGTGACAGGATTGTGTCGAGGCACAGATATGGGGAAGTGTACCAAAACATTTCTACAGCATTGAAGGTCCCCAAAAACACTGTGGCATCCATCATTCATAAATGGAATACGTTTGGAACCACCAAGACTCTTCCTAGAGCTGGCCGCCCGGCCAACCTGAGCAATCGTGGTAGAAGGGCCTTGGTCAGGGAGGTGACCAAGAACCCGATGGTCAATCTAACAGAGCTGCAGAGTTCCTCTGTGGAGATGGGAGAACCTTCCAGAAGGACAACCATCTCTGCAGCACTCCACCAATCAGACCTTTTATGTTAGAGTGGCCAGACGGAAGCCACTCCTCAGTAAAAGGCACATGACAGCCCGCTTGGAGTTTGCCAAATGGCAACTAAAGGACTCTCAGACCATGAGAAACAAAACAACGCAGAATTGGCTTCGGGACAAGTCTCTGAATGTCCTTGAGTGGCCCAACCAGAGCCCGGACTTGAACCCGATCGACCATCTCTGGAGAGTCCTGAAAATAGCTGTGCAGCGACGCTCCCCATCCATCCTGACCGAGCTTGAGAGGATCTGCAGAGAACAATGGCTTGTAGCGTCATACCCAAGAAGACTCAAGGCTGTAATCGCTGCTAAAGGTACTGAGTAAAGGGTCTGAATACTTTTTCTAATATTGGAAAAATGTTTATTTTTATTTTTATGTTTTTGCTTTGTCATTATGGGGTATTGTGTGTAGATTGATGGATGAAAAAAAACTATTTAATCCATTTTAGAATAAGGCTGTAACAAAATGTGGAGAAAGTCAAGGGGTCTGAATACTTTCCGAATGCACTGTATACAAGTTATGCATTTTGACTGAATTTGACCACTGTTTCAGGTGTTCATTGCCCAGTCAAGGTCCTCTGGTAGACACAGAGACGTGGAGGATGAAGAGCTCACCAGAATATTTGTAAAGATTCCCAAAACATTCACAGAAGAAGATCTGAAAGACACGTTCAAGGTATGAGGTCCATTGCATTGTATTTGATGACCTGGTGAAATATTACTGGCCAATTTACCCTAAGTGACCCCCCTTACATTTTAGAAATTTAGCAGACACTCTTATCCAGAGCGACTTACAGTAGCAATTTACACACCTTGTCGGCTCGGGGAATCGAACCAGCAAATGTTCAGTTACTGGCCCAACCCTCTAAACACTAGGCAACCTGCCGCACTTGGATGATATAAGATAGCAGACCAATAGAGATAATGCTATTTTTTTGCTTGTAGGAGTATGGTGACATAGAATACTGTGTGATCATAAAGAATAAAACCACGGGGGAGAGCAAAGGCTTGGGATATGTGAGGTATCATAAGCCATCACAAGCAGCCATTGCCATTGAGAACTGTGATAGAGGTAAGCAAGCATCAGCCCTCTCATTGAAGCCTCAAAGCAATGCTTTTCAGAACGGATGAACTCAAGTTAAAACACTTTGACTCCACTGTAGTATTTAATTTGTATCGATCTAACCCTTGTCTGTGCAACTAGCCTACAGGGCTGTTCTTGCTGAGCCCCGAAGCAAGAACTCATCTGCAGATAATGACTATCACAACAGTGGCAGAGCAGAGCACATGTCAAGTGACCTGGGAATGAACCCCTATTCCTTTGGAGCGTGTATGTGAAGTGCTTCAAATTCTGATTCAGAATGTGACATTTGCTTTCGTTTGCATTTGCTTTAACCTAGCTGTGGTCTGACATCTGTCTGTGTTCCCTACATGACAGCTGACCCTGGCAGTTATGCCGTAACTGACTACCGATCCAGTGACCTCATTACCAGGTGCCTAATGGTTTCCTCGAGAGCTAGCATTACCCAGGAGCAGATTTATGGCCTCTGTGACCTCATACCAGGGATGGATTACTGCGAGATGCAGCGGGATCATTATGGACTCAACAAAGGTATGATACATTGATAATTGTGTATTTAATAGGGAAAGATGCAGTTAAATAAAATTAGTATCACACATTGATTTATCAACAGTAACACTTTAGACACGACTATAAAGACAGTTTATAAACTATGTTTATAATGCTTATAAGAAATTCTAGAATAAGCCTACTCATTCTTTTGTTAATAAAAAAAAAAAAACAATTACGTTCTTATGTAGTGTTACCCACAAAGGTTAACACTCCTGATTTTGTATTTAAATTGTTCACATTAATGTTTGATATTGCTCATGATGCATGTAAAACGTTTTAACTGTAGGCCACCCCCCCCCCCCCCCCCCCCCCCCAGGACATGCTGTGATTCGCTACAACAACCTGGGCTCTGCCGTCTACGCCAAAGAGAAGCTGAATGGCTTTGAGTATCCTCCTGGAAACCGCCTCATCGTGACCCACATAGATGATGGAGAAGACAGGACCAGGTACAGACTTATCATGTGATGATAGACACTTCAAATGTGTCAAATGTCTTGATCGTTGTTTATCAATAATGATAATGGATTTATTTGAAAGTAGTACGCTTTAAAGCATGATCTTTAGGTTTATTTTATCTTGTACATATTCATTGCTTAAGACCCACTCCAGCCACCCACTCACCTAATTTATTTACCTGAGACTGGAAACTTTCGACGGCAGTTACTGGGCCATAGTTAGTTGTGTTTAGTTGTTGAAAGATAGTGTAAGTTAGTTTTGTTTATTAGGATTAGCTACTGCACATGCAGCAGCTACTCTTCCTGGGGTCCACATAGAGTGAGGGGAAAAAGTTTTTGATCCCCTGCTGATTTTGTACGTTTGACTACTGACAAAGAAATGATCAGTCTATAATTTTATTAGTACGTTTATTTGAACAGTGAGAGACAGAATAACAACAATAAAATCCAGAAAAACGCATGTCAAGAATGTTATAAATTGATTTGCATTTTAATGAGGGAAATAAGTATTTGACCCCCTCTCAATCAGAAAGATTTCTGGCTCCCAGGTGTCTTTTATACAGGTAACGAGCTGAGATCAGGAGCACACTCTTAAAGGGAGTGCTCCTAATCTCAGCTTGTTACCTGTATAAAATACACCTGTCCACAGAAGCAATCAATCAGATTCCAAACTCTCCACCATGGCCAAGACCAAAGAGCTCTCCAAGGATGTCAGGGACAAGATTGTAGACCTACACAAGGCTGGAATGGGCTACAAGACCATCGCCAAGCAGCTTGGTGAGAAGGTGACAACAGAAGAAACACAAAACAACTGTCAATCTCCCTCGGCCTGGGGCTCCATGCAAGATCTCACCTCTTGGAGTTGCAATGATCATGAGAACAGTGAGGAATTAGCCCAGAACTACACGGGAACATCTTGTCAATGATCTCAAAGCAGCTGGGACCATAGTCACCAAGAAAACAATTGGTAACACACTACGCCGTGAAGGACTGAAATCCTGCAGCGCCCGCAAGGTCCCCCTGCTCAAGAAAGCACATATACATGCCCGTCTGAAATTTGCCAATGAACATCTGAATGATTCAGAGGAGAACTAGGTGAAAGTGTTGTGGTCAGATGAGACCAAAATCGAGCTCTTAGGCATCAACTCAACTCGCCGTGTTTGGAGGAGGAGGAATGCTGCCTATGACCCCAAGAACACCATCCCCACCGTCAAACATGGAGGTGGAAACATTATGCTTTGGGGGTGTTTTTCTGCTAAGGGGACAGGACAACTTCACCGCATCAAAGGGACGATTGACGGGGCCATGTACCGTCAAATCTTGGGTGAGAACCTCCTTCCCTCAGCCAGGGCATTGAAAATGACCCAAAACACACGGCCAAGGCAACAAAGGAGTGGCTCAAGAAGAAGCACATGAAGGTCCTGGAGTGGCCTAGCCAGTCTCCAGACTTTAATCCCATAGAAAATATGTGGAGGGAGCTGAAGGTTCGAGTTGCCAAACGTCAGCCTCGAAACCTTAATGACTCAGAGAAGATCTGCAAAGAGGAGTGGAACAAAATCCCTCCTGAGATGTGTGCAAACCTGGTGGCCAACTACTAGAAACGTCTGACATCTATAATAATAATAATAATAATATGCCATTTAGCAGACGCTTTTATCCAAAGCGACTTACAGTCATGCGTGCATATTATTATTATTTTTGTGTATGGGTGGTCCCGGGGATCGAGCCCACTACCTTGGCGTTACAAGCGCCGTGCTCTACCAGCTGAGCTACAGAGGACCACCTGTGATTGCCAACAAGGGTCTTGCCACCAAGTACTAAGTCATGTTTTGCAGAGGGTTCAAATACTTTTTTCCCTCACTGTACAAATACATTATAAAGTACAGAACAGTTATAGACAAGAACAACACAAGATATTACTTACAAATATAAAAAGTTATGTCTGTATATGTATGTATATAAACTCAGCAAAAAAAGAAACGTCCTCTCAATGTCAACTGCGTTTATTTTCAGCAAACTTAACATGTGTAAATATTTGGAAAAATGTGTCCCTGAACAAAGGGTGGGTCAAAATCAAAAGTAACAGTCAGTATCTGGTGTGGCCACCAGCTGCATTAAGTACTGCAGTGCATCTCCTCCTCATGGACTGCACCAGATTTGCCAGTTCTTGCTGTGAGATGTTACCCCACTCTTCCACCAAGGCACCTGCAAGTTCCCTGACATTTCTGGGGGCAATGGCCCTAGCCCTCACCCTCTGATCCAACAGGTCCCAGACGTGCTCAATGGGATTGAGATCCGGGCTCTTCGCTGGCCATGGCAGAACACTGACATTCCTGTCTTGCAGGAAATCACGCACAGAACGAGCAGTATGGCTGGTGGCATTGTCATGCTGGAGGGTCATGTCAGGATGAGCCTGCAGGAAGGTTACCACATGAGGGAGGAGGATGTCTTCCCTGTAACGCACTGCGTTGAGATTGCCTGCAATGACAACAAGCTCAGTCCGATGATGCAGTGACACACCGCCCCAGACCATGACAGACCCTCCACCTCCAAACCGATCCTGCTCCAGAGTACAGGCCTCGGTGTAATGCTCATTCCTTCGACGATAAACGCGAATCCGACCATCACCCCTGGTGAGACAAAACCGCGACTCGTCAGTGAAGAGCACTTTTGCTAGTCCTTTCTGGTCCAGCGACAGTGGGTTTGTGCTTATAGACAACGTTATTGCCGGTGATGTCTGGTAAGGACCTGCCTTACAACAGGCCTACACGCCTCAGTCCAGCCTCTCTCAGCCTATTGTGGACAGTCTGAGCACTGATGGAGGGATTGTGCGTTCCTGGTGTAACTCGGGCAGTTGTTGTTGCCATTCTGTACCTATCCCGCAGGTGTGATGTTCGTATGTACCGATCCTGTGCAGGTGTTGTTACACGTGGTGTGCCACTGCGAGGACGATCAGCTGTCCGTCCTGTCTCCCTGTAGCGCTGTCTTAGGCGTCTCACAGTACGGACATTGCAATTTATTGCCCTGGCCATATCTGCAGTCGTCATGCCTCCTTGCGGCATGCCTAAGGCACGTTCACGCAGATGAGCAGGGGCCCTGGGCATATTTATTTTGGTGTTTTTCAGAGTCAGTAGAAAGGCCTCTTTAGTGTCCTAAGTTTTAATAACTGTGACCTTAATTGCCTACCGTCTGTTAGCTGTTAGTGTCTTAACGACCGTTCCACAGGTGCATGTTCATTAATTGTTTATGGTTCATTGAACAAGCATGGATTTTTACGAATTATCTTTGAAAGACAGGGTCCTGAAAAAGGGATGTTTCTTTTTTTGCTGAGTTTATATGAAAGACACAAAGAGATGACAAAAACACAATTTACACTAAATGTTAGGTCTGACCCAATTTAGTCGATTGTTTGGTCGATTGACTGTTGATCGACTGATCTCTTCTAGTCGAGCAATCGCAATTGTTTATTTTATCATGGTGCACAAGACACCTGTCTGATTCGCGCCTGTCTCAGTGGACTAATCCTTTGCGAAGGATGGCACAGATATAAAATTGTATATGGTTATATTATTTGAAAAATAATGGTGCAACTCTAAATGTAATTACATTTTATAACAAATGTGCTTTCTCCGGCGTTGAATACGGTCGCTGTCCGCGGTTCTAAAACATAATCTTCAGTGCGCCATTGAATTGGCGCCTTTCCCTATGTTGCTATGTGCATAATAACACAGTTGAACAATGCGGCGGAGGCAGCAGCAGCAGAGACAAAGAAACAGTCATTGCCTTAGCCTAATTGTCTAAGAAAATTGGAGAGAGGAAATCCCAAATTAATTAGGTCTATAATTATTAGTCTAACTGTTAAATGTGCCTGGCTTTGTAAATCATTCATATACAGTGCATTGGGGAAGTAACGTTTTGTTACGTTACAGCCTTATTCTAAAATGGATTAAATTCATTTTTTTCCTCATAAATCTACACACAAAATCCCATAATGACAAAGCAAAAACAGATGTTTGCAAAAAATAATCAAAATGTATTACAAATAAAAAACATACCTTATTTACATAAGTATTCAGACCCTTTGCTATGAGACTTGAAATTGAGCTCCGGTGCATCGTGTTTCCATTGATCATCCTTGATGTTTCTACAACTTGATTGGAGTCCACCTGTAGTAATTTAAATAGATTGGACATGATTTGGAAAGGCACACACCTGTCTATATTAGGTCCCACAGTTGACAGTGCATGTCAGAGCAAAAACCAAGCCATGAGGTTGAAGGAATTGTCCATAGAGCTCTGAGACAGGATTGTGTCGAGGCACAGATCTGGGGAAGGGTACTAAAAACATTTCTGCAGCATTGAAGGTCCCCAAAAACACAGTGGCATCCATCATTCTTAAATGGGAAGAAGTTTGGAACCACCAAGACTCTTCCTAGAGCTGGCCGCCTAGCCAAACTGAGCAATCGTGGGAGAAGGGCCTTGGACAAGGAGGTGACCAAGAACCTGATGGTCACTCTTACAGAGCTCCAGAGTTCCTCTATGGAGATGGGAGAATCTTCCAGAAGGACAACCATCTCTGCATCACTCCACCAATCAGGCCTTTATGGTAGAGTGGCCAGTCGGAAGCCACTCCTCAGTAAAAGGCACATGACAGCCCGCTTGGAGTTTGCCAAAAGGCAACTAAATGATCATGAGAAACAAGATTCTCTGGTCTGATAAAACCAAGATTGAACTCTTTGACCTGAATGCCAAGCGTCATGTCTGGAGGAAACCTGGCACCATCCCTACAGTGAAGCATGGTGGTGGCAGTATCATGCTGTGGGGATGTTTTTCAGCGCCAGGGACTGGGAGACTAGTCAGGATCGAGGGAAAGATGAACGGAGCAAAGTACAGAGAGGTCCTTGATGAAAACCTGCTCCAGAGCGCTCAGGACCTCAGACTGGGGTGAAGGTTCTCTTTCCAACAGGACAACAACCCTAAGCACACAGCCAAGACAACGCAGGAGTGACTTTGGGACAAGTCTCTGAATGTCCTTGAGTGGCCCAGCCAGAGCCCAGAATTGAACCTGATCTAACATCTCTGGAGAGACCTGAAAATAGCTGTGCAGCGACGCTACCCATCCAACCTGACAGAGTTTGGGAAGATCTGCAGAGAAGAATGGTCCTATGGGTGGTCCTCTGTAGCTCAGCTGGTTAGAGCACGGCGCTTGTAACGCCAAGGTAGTGGGTTCGATCCCCGGGACCACCCATACACAAAAATGTATGCACTCATGACTGTAAGTCGCTTTGGATAAAAATGGCAAATGGCTAAATGGCATATAATAATAATAATAATTATTATTATTATTATAAGAATGGGAGAAACTCCCCAAATACATGTGTGCCAAGCTTATAGCGTCATACCCAAGACGATTTGTGGCTGTAATCGCTGCCAAAGGTGCTTCAACAAAGTACTGAGTAAAGGGTCTGAATACTTATGTAAATGTGATATTTCGTTGATTTCTTTGCACACATTTTTAAAAACCTGTTTTTGCTTTGTCATTATGGGGTATTGTATGTAGATTGATGTGAAAAACAACAACAATTTAATCAATTTTAGAATAAGGCTGTAACCTAACAAAATGTGGAAAAAGTCAAGGGTCTGAATGCTTTCTGAAGGCACTGTATATGTAGATGTACAATTTTGACACTGACTGTGTGTGTGAGAGAGAGAAGGACCCCTTTTGCCCATTTGTTTTTGAGTTAGTCCTTGGTGGGACAGTATTTACCAAAACTGCTGGTTGTCATGTCATGGCACCTTCTGGGTATCCCCCTTCAGGACTGTGACACCATAACTTATTGAGCAGTAAAGCTGTTCCTTGACTCAATACTGTTAAAGCTGCAATATACAAGTACACCCCCTGGATAGGACGCTAGTCTATTGCAGGGCCTTAACCACAATCTATCTTGAGTGCCAAGCAGAGACTCATCGGGTCCCATTTTTTTACAGTCTGGTATGACTCTGCCAGTGGTCGAACTGTCCAACCTTCAAATCTCAGGGAGGACACTGACAAGGGCACTGAATTGGTTATGCAAGCCATAGGTATAACTGTATTTTGACATGTTGACTGAGGCATGCACAATTTAAACATTTACTGGCTACCCTTGGTGACCTTAGAGAGAGACATTGTCCTACAGGTAACAGCTATTCTTCTTAGTTGTGATCTTGTTTACTATCTACACAATGTTCAACTACTGTAGGTTTCTTTGATAATGGTTTCCAACATGTTTGACATAACCTCATAACATTTCTGTGTTGTTATTTTTGCAGAACATCTTATTGAACATATGACTAGTGGTAACTAGGGGTGGTGGGGGGGAATTAGGGCATCAAGGCATCTTTCAGCCATTTTGGTTCCCCTCCAGCCCTTGCTTCCTATGGGAGAGTATCTTTACCTGTCTGATGGTGGGCAGCAGCATCTGGAAGACAGGAGGGGGCAGCGTCTGCTGGAGGAGCTGCTCGGGTTGCCCGTACACAGCAATGACATCATAGTTTCCTGATGGTTGAAACAGGTCTGGGGCAAATGAGCTAAAATAGAAAAGGCTTTTCTTCCCAGAATAACTTTGGTAGCCTTCAAATCAGACAACAGCTACTCATAAGAATCGACTCGTTCCAGTACATATCATAGATCATCTGCCCCCTTACAGAGTCTCTGTTACTGTCCCCTGCAGGTATAATAATAATAATATGCCATTTAGCAGACGCTTTTATCCAAAGCGACTTACAGTCATGCGTGCATACATTTTTGTGTATGGGTGGTCCCGGGGATCGAACCCACTACCTTGGCGTTACAAGTGCTGTGCTCTACCAGCTGAGCTACAGAGGACCACATAATAATTTAATACTGACAATATTTACTGGCATGCAAACGAAAGCTTGACTTGCAATAAGCAAAATGTCACGTACAAGAATTCAGTGGGGAGGATCATGGGACTACAATATGAATAGAATTAGATTTTATTCTAATGTGGACACTACCATGCCGTAGAGTAGTCCGTATATTGAGGGAGTTTAATTAAGCTGGACCGGGGTGCACCGAGCTATGGCCCGTGACGTGAATAGGTGAAAGCTGTGAGGGAGGAGTGCCCTGGTCATATTGTCAACAAGACCGCATGGTTCAACGTTCAGAAACATAGAACATGTATTTTCCATAAAGTATATGTTAAGACTATTACTAGTTCTTCTTGAAAAGGCAGATAAAGTACATATTCGTTTTTCTTTTACCAAGAGCAAACACTTTGGATGTATCTCTATGTTCTTGACATGCGTCACTTTGTTTTGAGCCGACATAGCCATGGGCTCACGCCCTGTTTTATTGTACATGTGACGTTACACTATATAGTCAGATGACATGCTTTCAGATAATTGCCTTGTTTTTGAATAGCCACATACCATTAGTGGTTACTTTAGTGCATCATAGCTTGCTAGATGTCTTTAAGAAAATAAATAACCATGCTAGCTAGTTATCCAGCTAATTGTTTCAATGCCCCTTCCAAATGTGAAATTACAAGACAAAAAAGCCACTTATCATACCTAAAGGTGTTCCACGATGGTGTCTTGTTGTGAAGGTAGCTAGCTAGCTAACGTTAGCCAGTAGTGACTATTCATAGAAAGCTAGCTACTAGCTGGCTAACCTACCAGTGGCTAGCTACATACACTGAGTGTATAAAACATTAGGAACACCTGCTCTTTCCATGCCATAGACTGACCAGGTGAAAGCTATGATCCCTTATTGATGTCCCTTGTTTAATCCACTTCAATCAGTGTAGATGAAGGGGAGGAGACAGGTTAAATAAGGATTTTTAAGCCTTGCACTGGTTTGAGTGTCAAGAAGTATAACGCTGCTGGGTTTTTCATGCTCAACAGTTTCCTGTGTGTATCAAGAATGGTCCACCACCCAAAGGACATCCAGCCAACTTGACACAACTGTGGGACGCATTGGAGTCAACATGGGCCAGCATCCCTGTGGAATGCTTTCGACACCCTGTGGAGTCTATGCCCTGACGAATTGAGGCTGTTCTGGGGGCAAAAGGGGTGGTGCAACTCAATATTAGGAAGGTGTTCCTAATGTTTTTACCCTCAGTGTATAATAGCCAATTGGCCATATTAGCTAGCTACTAGTATCTCCCCGTGTCCCCTCCTCTGAGCTTTATAGTCCCCTCCCGCAAAGTCCTCGCAAACACTGTCTGTTTACATTTACATTTTAGTCATTTAGCAGACGCTCTTTTCCAGAGCGACTTACAGTTAGTGAATACATCTTTTTTTATTTTTTATTTTTTTTATACTGGCCCCCCGTGGGAATCGAACCCAAATGCCATTCTCTATCAACTGAGCTACATCCCTGCCGGCCATTCCCTCCCCTAGCCTGGACGACGCTGGGCCAATTGTGCGCCGCCCATGAGTCTCCCGGTCGCGGCCGGCTGCGACAGAGCCTGGATTCGAACCAGGATCTCTAGTGGCACAGTTAGCACTGCGATGCAGTGCCTTAGACCACTGCGCCACTCAGGAGACTCAGGAGTCTGTTCTACTTCTTCTGTGGGGTTTCACACTGGCTGTTGTTGCCGGTACACCCTAAAAACATGACTTTAGGCAGCTACATGCTTCCATATCTAAATACTTTCCTGTTTGTGTTTTGAAAATTATGACAACTGAGCAATGTAAAATATAAATATTTATAAATATAAATATTTAGGAGCAGGACGTTGGAATTCTTTTGGCAGTTTTTTAATGTACAAAATCAAACGTCAGTGGTCGTTGGCCTATGACAGTTCTAGTGTTAAAACTGGCCCAAAAACACTCTTTAGGAAGGCCTTCTCTTAGTTATAGCGGTGTTCCTTGTTTTCCTTGTCCCTTGTAGTGTCAACTGTGTTCTTTGTCAGTGGCCTTAATTTATCTACGTCTCTTGTTTTTATTTATTTTATTGCACTCACTGTCATTGTTTTTCAATGAAAAGCGTTATCAGTTATTATTAATAGTATTAACTACAATTGGATACACGCAGCTTATTTTCTCTCACAACTAGTTTCCCTAGAAGTAGCAGCACTCACAATAATAAATGTCAAATCGATAGAATGAATGCATCAAATTGTATGTCTACTTTATGTGTTTGTCTCTGTCCCTACCCGTCCGTTCGAGTACATTCTAGAGATGCTGAAAGGGTAAAAAAACGAGTGGGTCACCATTGTAAGACAATTGTCATGTCCTTTTGTTAGTCCTGTCGGGAAGATGGCGATGCAGCTGGTTGCTGCTCAGATGATGTCAATGGTGTGGAATGGTCCTACCACCAGCCAGCAACTGATGAAGACGAGCACAGTAAGCAACAGTGTTGTACTTGCACTTGCAGTTATTCTAGTATCAAGATTGGCATAGCTCCTCAAAGGAGCTCACAACCTTTCCAACTCATTTTTCATGGACTATCACATCTAGACAGATCGTAGATTTTCAAGACTCAGAATGATTTTCTTTTTAGGACTAACTTCAGGATGTTGGTGTGCGAATGGGTATTCTGTTAATCTCTTAATGTGACGTGTGTCTATCAGGGTTACCGCACAGCCTCTCCGATGCCCCGGATCCAGACAGATGTATCACTTCCCTCTCTGAAGAACCTGGCACCCCCAGATAGCCGGGTTAAGGAGCGTCTCTTTGTGGTCTTCAGCCCTGCACCTCTTCCCATGGACGTCTTGGAAGATGTCTTCTGGTATGGAAGAACTTAAAATAGCTAAGCTGTGTCCTTCAGTTCACAATCCCAATAAGTCCTTACTATGATAACACATTATTTAAAGGTCTTATATAGGAGCCTCAGATAGCGACATCGACAGAGCCTATGGCAGGAGCGGGGACAACTCCTCCCGCTGCGTGCGTGTGTGCGTGCATGCATGCATACACACATACATACATACAGCACCAGTCAAAAGTTTGGGCACGCCTACTCATTCCAGGGTTTTTCTTTATTTTTACTATTTTCTACTTTGTAGAATAATAGTGAAGACATCAAAACTATGAAATAACACATATGGAATCATGTAGTAACAAAAAAAAGTGTTAAACAAATCAAAATATATTTTATATTTGAGATTCTTCAAATAGCCACCCTTTGCTTTGATGACAGCTTTGCACACTCAGCATTCTCTCAACCAGCTTCACCTGGAATGCTTTTCCAACAGTCTTGAAGGAGTTCCCACATATGCTGAGCACTTGTTGGCTGCTTTTCCTTCACTCTGCGGTCCGACTCATCCCAAACCATTTCAGTTAGGTTGAGGTCGGGGGGATTGTGGAGGCCAGGTCATCTGATGCAGCACTCCATCACTCTCCTTCTTGGTCAAATAGCCCTTACACAGCCTGGAGGTGTGTTGGGTCATTGTCCTGTTGAAAAACAAATGATAGTTCCAATAAGCCCAAACCAGATGGGATGGCATATCGCTGCAGAATGCTGTGGTAGCCATGCTGGTTATACAGTGGGGAGAACAAGTATTTGATACACTGCTGATTTTGCAGGTTTTCCTACTTACAAAGCATGTAGAGGTCTGTAATTTTTATCATAGGTACACATCAACTGTGAGAGACGGAATCTAAAACAAAAATCCAGAAAATCACATTGTATGATTTAAGTAATTAATTTGCATTTTATTGCATGACATAAGTATTTGATACATCAGAAAAGCAGAACTTAATATTTGGTACAGAAACCTTTGTTTGCAATTACAGAGATCATACGTTTCCTGTAGGTCTTGACCAGGTTTGCACACACTGCAGCAGGGATTTTGGCCCACTCCTCCATTCAGACCTTCTCCAGATCCTTCAGGTTTCGGGGCTGTCGCTGGGCAATACGAACTTTCAGCTCCCTCCAAAGATTTTCTATTGGGTTCAGGTCTGGAAACTGGCTAGGCCACTCCAGGACCTTGAGATGCTTCTTATGGAGCCACTCCTTAGTTGCCCTGGCTGTGTGTTTCGGGTCATTGTCATGCTGGAAGACCCAGCCACGACCCATCTTCAATGCTCTTACTGAGGGAAGGAGGTTGTTGGCCAAGATCTCACGATACATGACCCCATCCATCCTCCCCCCTTTGCAGAAAAGCATCCCCAAAGAATGATGTTTCCACCTCCATGCTTCACGGTTAGGATGGTGTTCTTGGGGTTGTACTCATCCTTCTTTTTCCTCCAAACACGGCGAGTGGAGTTTAGACCAAAAAGCTCTATTTTTGTCTCATCAGACCACATGAACTTCTCCCATTCCTCCTCTGGATCATCCAGATGGTCATTGGCAAACTTCAGACGGGCCTGGACATGCGCTGGCTTGAGCAGGGGGACCTTGCGTGCGCTGCAGGATTTTAATCCACGACGGCGTAGTGTGTTACTAATGGTTTTCTATGAGACTGTGGTCCCAGCTCTCTTCAGGTCATTGACCAGGTCCTGCCGTGTAGTTCTGGGCTGATCCCTCACCTTCTTCATGATCATTGATGCCCCACGAGGTGAGATCTTGCATGGAGCCCCTGACCGAGGGTGATTGATTGTCATCTTGAACTTCTTCCATTTTCTAATAATTGCGCCAACAGTTGTTGCCTTTTCACAAAGCTGCTTGCCTATTGTCCTGTAGCCCATCCCAGCCTTGTGCAGGTCTACAATTTGTATCCCTTATGTCCCTACACAGCTCTCTGGTCTTGGCCATTGTGGAGAGGTTGGAGTCTATTTGATTGAGTGTGTGGACAGGTGTCTTTTATACAGGTAACGAGTTCAAACAGGTGCAGTTAATACAGGTAATGAGTGGAGAACAGGAGGGCTTCTTAAAGAAAAACTAACAGGTCTGTGAGAGCCGGAATTCTTACTGGTTGGTAGGTGATCAAATACTTATGTCATGCAATAAAATGCAAATGTATTACTTAAAAATCATACAATGTGATTTTCTGGATTTTTGTTTTAGATTCCGTCTCTCACAGTTGAAGTGTACATATGATAAAAATTACAGACCTCTACATGCTTTGTAAGTAGGAAAACCTGCAAAATCGGCAGTGTATCAAATACTTGTTCTCCCCACTCTATCAAATACTTGTTCTCCCCACTCTACAATATTTACAGTTACCTAAACAAACTATTTCATAATGTTTTATAAGCAATCAGGCCTAATAAGCACAAGTACTTACTGATGGTTCTTTCTGCAGTCGATTTGGTTCCCTTGTGGAGGTGCACCTCGTGCCTGGGAGGAACGTAGGCTACATGAAGTATGCCGAGAAAGAGAGTGCGGGTGAAGCTATGGCTGCCTTGCATGGTAAAATGGTGAACGGAGTGAGGATGAAGGTGATGCTGGCTGACCCGCCGAGGGAACCAAGGGAGGAGTCCCACAAGCGCCCACGGACATACTAGCCAACTCCTAGGTAGAAGAGGTAAGTCATTTTTAAAGTTAAGATGAATGTATTTTGTTGATGCTAAATTAACATTGTTAACCCTAACCCTTAATTTTGTAATGCTTTTAAATTATATTTTCTTAATTTTGTCATTTTCACCAAAATGAGCAATTCTTATAGAACACAATACTGGGGCTTCTTATGATCCTAGAAACTGATCCACGTGAATAAAATATTGTTTTGTGAACTCGAGGAGAACCATGCCCTCAGGGTTGACCTAGATCGACGCTGGAGAAGCTTAAAGGCCCAGTGCAGTCAACAACATGATTTTCCTGTTTAAAATATATATATATTTATTTTATTGAACCTCTATTTAACTAGGCACGTCAGTTAAGAACAAATTCCTATTTACAATGACGGCCTAGGTGTGTCCAAACTTTTGACTGGTAGTGTGTATATATATATATATATATACACACACTACCAGTCAAAAGTTTGGACACACCTACTCATTCAAGGGTTTTTCTTTATTGTAGAATAATAGTGAAGACATCAAAACTATGAAAAACACATATGGAATCATGTAGTAACCAAAAAAGTGTTAAACAAATCAAAATATATTTTATATTTGAGATTCTTCAAATAGCCACCTTTTGTCTTAATGACAGCTTTGCACACTCTTGGCATTCTCTCAACCAGCTTCATGAGGTAGTCACCTGGAATGCATTTCAATTAACAGGTGTACCTTCTTAAAAGTTAATTTGTTGAATTTATTTCCGTCTTAATGCGTTTGAGCCAATCAGTTGTGTTGTGACAAGGTACAGAAGATAGCCCTATTTGGTAAAAGACCAAGTCCATATTATGACAAGAACAGCTCAAATAAGGTACTGTGTGTATACATACATACATACATACATACATACATACAGTGGGGAGAACAAGTATTTGATACACTGCCGATTTTGCAGGTTTTCCTACTTACAAAGCATGTAGAGGTCTGTCATTTTTATCATAGGTACACTTCAACTGTGAGAGACGGAATCTGAAACAAAAATCCAGAAAATCACATTGTAGGATTTTTAAGTAATTAATTTGCATTTTATTGCATGACATAAGTATTTGATACATCAGAAGGGCAGAACTTAATATTTGGTATGGAAACCTTTGTTTGCAATTACAGAGATCATACGTTTCCTGTAGGTCTTGACCAGGTTTGCATACACTGCAGCAGGGATTTTGGCCCACTCCTCCATACAGACCTTCTCCAGATCCTTCAGGTTTTGGGGCTGTCGCTGGGCAATACGGACTTTCAGCTCCCTCCAAAGATAGTTCTGGGCTGATCCCTCACCTTCCTCATGATCATTGATGCCCCACGAGGTGAGATCTTGCATGGAGCCCCAGACCGAGGGTGATTGACCGTCATCTTGAACTTCTTCCATTTTCTAATAATTGCGCCAACAGTTGTTGCCTTCTCACCAAGCTGCTTGCCTATTGTCCTATAGCCCATCCCAGCCTTGTGCAGGTCTACAATTTTATCCCTGATGTCCTTACACAGCTCTCTGGTCTTGGCCATTGTGGAGAGGTTGGAGTCTGTTTGATTGAGTGTGTGGACAGGTGTCTTTTATACAGGTAACAAGTTCAAACGGGTGCAGTTAATACAGGTAATGAGTGGAGAACAGGAGGGCTTCTGAAAGAAAAACTAACAGGTCTGTGAGAGCCGGAATTCTTACTGGTTGGTAGGTGATCAAATACTTATGTCATGCAATAAAATGCAAATTAATATGCCATTTAGCAGACGCTTTCATCCAAAGCGACTTACAGTCATGAGTGCATACATTTTTGTGTATGGGTGGTCCCGGGGATCGAACCCACTACCTTGGCGTTACAAGCGCCGTGCTCTACCAGCTGAGCTACAGAGGACCACTTAAAAATCATACAATGTGATTTTCTGGATTTTTGTTTTAGATTCCGTCTCTCACAGTTGAAGTGTACCTATGATAAAAATGACAGACCTCTACATGCTTTGTAAGTAGGAAAACCTGCAAAATCGGCAGTGTATCAAATACTTGTTCTCCCCACTGTACATTAATACATACATGCATACAGTGCCAGTCAAAAGTTTGGACACACCTACTCATTCCAGGGTTTTTCTTTATTTTTACTATTTTCTGTCATTCCAGGTGACTACCTCATTAAGCTAGTTGAGAGAATGTCAAGAGTGTGCAAAGCTCTCATCAAGGAAAAGGGTAGCTACTTTGAAGGATCTCAAATATAAAATATATTTTGATTTGTTTTAACACTTTTTGGGTTACTACATGATTCCATATGTGTTTTATTTCATAGTTTTGATGTCTTCACTATTGTTCTACAATGTAGAAAATAGTAAAAATAAAGAAAAACCCTTGAATGAGTAGGTGTGTCCAAACTTTTGACTGGTACTATGTATATACAGTGGGGAAAAAAAGTATTTAGTCAGCCACCAATTGTGCAAGTTCTCCCACTTAAAAAGATGAGAGAGGCCTGTAATTTTCATCATAGGTACACGTCAACTATGACAGACAAATGGAGAAAAGAAAATCCAGAAAATCACATTGTAGGATTTTTAATGAATTTATTTGCAAATTATGGTGGAAAATAAGTATTTGGTCACCTACAAACAAGCAAGATTTCTGGCTCTCACAGACCAGTAACTTATTCTTTAAGAGGCTCCTCTGTCCTCCACTCGTTACCTGTATTAATGGCACCTGTTTGAACTTGTTATCAGTATAAAAGACACCTGTCCACAACCTCAAACAGTCACACTCCAAACTCCACTATGGCCAAGACCAAAGAGCTGTCAAAGGACACCAGAAACAAAATTGTAGACCTGCACCAGGCTGGGAAGACTGAATCTGCAATAGGTAAGCAGCTTGGTTTGAAGAAATCAACTGTGGGAGCAATTATTAGGAAATGGAAGACATACAAGACCACTGATAATCTCCCTCGATCTGGGGCTCCACGCAAGATCTCACCCCGTGGGGTCAAAATGATCACAAGAACGGTGAGCAAAAATCCCAGAACCACACGGGGGGACCTAGTGAATGACCTGCAGAGAGCTGGGACCAAAGTAACAAAGCCTACCATCAGTAACACACTACGCCGCCAGGGACTCAAATCCTGCAGTGCTAGACGTGTCCCCCTGCTTAAGCCAGTACATGTCCAGGCCCGTCTGAAGTTTGCTAGAGTGCATCCAGAAGAGGATTGGGAGAAAGTCATATGGTCAGATGAAACCAAAATAGAACTTTTTGGTAAAAACTCAACTTGTCGTGTTTGGAGGACAAAGAATGCTGAGTTGCATCCAAAGAACACCATACCTACTGTGAAGCATGGGAGTGAAAACATCATACTTTGGGGCTGTTTTTCTGCAAAGGGACCAGGACGACTGATCCGTGTAAAGGAAAAATGAATGGGGCCATGTATCGTGAGATTTTGAGTGAAAACCTCCTTCCATCAGCAAGGGCATTGAAGATGAAACGTGGCTGGGTCTTTCAGCATGACAATGATCCCAAACACACCACCCGGGCAACGAAGGAGTGGCTTCGTAAGAAGCATTTCAAGGTCCTGGAGTCTCCAGATCTCAACCCCATAGAAAATCTTTGGAGGGAGTTGAAAGTCCGTGTTGCCCAGCGACAGCCCCAAAACATCACTGCTCTAGAGGAGATCTGCATGGAGGAATGGGCCAAAATACCAGCAACAGTGTGTGAAAACCTTGTGAAGACTTACAGAAAACGTTTGACCTGTGTCATTGCCAACAAAGGGTATATAACAAAGTATTGAGAAACTTTTGATAATGACCAAATACTTATTTTCCACCATAATTTGCAAATAAATTAATAAAAAATCCTACAATGTGATTTTCTGGAATATTTTTTCTCATTTTGTCTGTCATAGTTGACGTGTACCTATGATGAAAATTACAGGCCTCTCTCATCTTTTTAAGTGGGAGAACTTGCACAATTGGTGGCTGACTAAATACTATTTTTCCCCACTGTACACTACCATTCAAAAGTTTGGGGTCACTTAGAAATGTCCTTGTTTTCGAAAGAAAAGCAATTTTTTGGTCCATTAAAATAACATAAAATTGATCAGAAATACAGTGTAGACATTGTTAATGTTGTAAATGGCTATTGTAACTGGAAACGGCTGATTTTTAATGGAATATATACATAGGCGTACAGAGGCCCATTATAAAAAATCAGTCCTGTGAAACAAATAACTTTCTTCTGAAACTCGTCAGTCTATTCTTGTTCTGAGAAATGAAAGCTATTCCATGCGAGATATTTGTTTCTGGCCATTTTGAGCCTGTAATCGAACCCACAATTGCTGATGCTCCAGATACTCAACTAGTCTCAAGAAGGCCAGTTTTATTGCTTCTTTAATCAGCACAACAGTTTTCAGCTGTGCTAACATAATTGCAAAAGGGTTTTCTAATGATCAATTAGCCTTTTAAAATAATAAACTTGGATTAGCTAACACAACGTGCCATTGTAACACAGGACTGATGGTTGCTGATAATGGGCCTCTGTAGAGCCTATGTAGATATTCCATTATAAATCAGCCGTTTCCAGCTACATTAGCCATTTACAACATTAACAATGTCTACACTTTATTTCTGATCAATTTGATGTTATTTTTATGGATACATTTTTTTGCTTTTCTTTCGAAAACAAGGACATTTATAAGTGACCCCAAACTTTTGAACGGTAGTGAATATATAGGTGCTTAATTGTTACCCATAAATGATTTAATATTGAGAGAAAAAATGGCTGCATTGGACCTTTTTTTAAAAGGATTGGTTCACTATTTTACTACCAAATCAAAAAATGTTATGTAAATGGTATGTTATAAAAGGGTCCAGACATTATTTTTTTTGCGATTTCACTTTGTTTTGAGAAACTTACACCCCACCCGCAATAGACTCCCTCATTGCTCGTTCTGCAGTATGGGGGCTACGAAAAACATGAACAAAGGCTCCAAAAACACCCAAATACGTCCTTTAGAAAATACACATGAAATTGTATAATTCCAAACATTATTCGTAATGTTATATTCCATTTTGTGCGACTCAATTGTTTTCCCAAACAAGCTGTGCTGCTTCTCCGTGTAGCCCGAGTAGCATAGCTTGTCGAAGAAACAGCTCGAGTCCTTGCAAAATCAAACTCCACTGGCGGTTCTAGTATTAACTAAACCAACTGGTTATGTTTACACTGTGGTCACATAGCACCATCAACTAATATGGCACATACAGTGGGGAAAAAAAGTATTTAGTCAGCCACCAATTGTGCAAGTTCTCCCACTTAAAAATATGAGAGAGGCCTGTAATTTCCATCATAGGTACACGTCAACTATGACAGACAAATTGAGAAAGAAAAATCCAGAAAATCACATTGTAGGATTTTTAATGAATTTAATTGCAAATTATGGTGGAAAATAAGTATTTGGTCACCTACAAACAAGCAAGATTTCTGGCTCTCACAGACCTCTAACTTCTTCTTTAAGAGGCTCCTCTGTCCTCCACTCGTTACCTGTATTAATGGCACCTGTTTGAACTTGTTATCAGTATAAAAGACACCTGTCCACAACCTCAAACAGTCACACTCCAAACTCCACTATGGCCAAGACCAAAGAGCTGTCAAAGGACACCAGAAACAAAATTGTAGACCTGCACCAGGCTGGGAAGACTGAATCTGCAATAGGTAAGCAGCTTGGTTTGAAGAAATCAAACTGTGGGAGCAATTATTAGGAAATGGAAGACATACAAGACCACTGATAATCTCCCTCGATCTGGGCTCAACGCATATGGTCAGATGAAACCAAAATAGAACTTTTTGGTAAAAACTCAACTCGTCGTGTTTGGAGGACAAAGAATGCTGAGTTGCATCCAAAGAACACCATACCTACTGTGAAGCATGGGGGTGGAAACATCATGCTTTGGGGCAGTTTTTCTGCAAAGGGACCAGGACGACTGATCCGTGTAAAGGAAAGAATGAATGGGGCCATGTATTGTGAGATTTTGAGTGAAAACCTCCTTCCATCAGCAAGGGCATTGAAGATGAAACGTGGCTGGGTCTTTCAGCATGACAATGATCCCAAACACACCGCCCGGGCAACGAAGGAGTGGCTTCGTAAGAAGCATTTCAAGGTCCTGGAGTGGCCTAGCCAGTCTCAAAATCTCAGCCCCATAGAAAATCTTTGGAGGGAGTTGAAAGTCCGTGTTGCCCAGCGACAGCCCCAAAACATCACTGCTCTAGAGGAGATCTGCATGGAGGAATGGGCCAAAATACCAGCAATAGTGTGTGAAAACCTTGTGAAGACTTACAGAAAACGTTTGACCTGTGTCATTTCTAACAAAGGGTATATAACAAAGTATTGAGAAACTTTTGTTATTGACCAAATACTTATTTTCCACCATAATTTGCAAATAAAGTCATTAAAAATCGTACAATGTGATTTTCTGGATTTTTTTTCCTAATTTTGTCTGTCACAGTTGACGTGTACCTATGATGAAAATTACAGGCCTCTCTCATCTTTTTAAGTGGGAGAACTTGCACAATTGGTGGCTGACTAAATACTTTTTTTCCCCACTGTATGACACAGACAAAAATGGTACAATGTTTAATTACAGTGTAATTACACTCTACCAAAAGGTAGTCTCTTCTCACGGAGCGTGCGGAGTGCCCCGAGTCTGGTGAGACTACCCAGAAGTTTACTCCCTCAGTCCAGATCATATTGAAGATGGCTGGTAGTCATAGTTTGAACTGAGTGACAATGCCAGGGAAAGCTTTAGAAGCCACATGTCTCACTGTACCCTGAATGTTTTTGTTTCTGCAGAGGTGACCACGGACATGACCACGGACATGACTGGACATGACCACGGACATGACTGGACATACTGAGACGATGACACGACCAACTACTACAGACATTGATTTCTGTACCTTTTCTTGACATTTGCCATTAGCATCAAACTTGCAAGACGTTTCTTTTCATAATGTGAGGTATGATATCAGTTAGGACTTTCAGTAGTGTAGTCACAGTGAATACTACTGACGGTATATACTCAAGCTTGTTCACCATGTATGTACCCTGAATTCCTCAATAAACAAAAGTATAAATGTATCTTGTCTGTTAGTCATTGATTGCATTTCACAGACACCATAATATCTATATTATACAACGAGTGGGTCTAATCCTGAATGCTGGTTGGTTAAAACCGCATTCCAGCCGGTGTCTATTCTACAAGTTACTACCGGCTAAATCTATGACGTTAAAATGCCTATTTACTCTGTTCCAGCTGACTGCGCTATCCACTGTCTCATCAGCCCAGCCAGGCAATTTCTTAACTTGATCTCCACTAAAAAAAAAAGCATCTAGACATTATCTCACATTTCTTTTAGACTAACATTTAGTTTTCAGCAGCGGAGATTTGTATAAAACTTGCTGTCTGTCTCCCCGACATTTGCAACATGTTTTGAATGTTCAAATTCGATCTCCAGCTGTCCCATAGTAATGAACGTGTCGGGAGTCGTAACGAGACAGGCAGGCAGCGTTTCTCGGCCAGTCGAAATCGTGAATCAGCTGGCATAATTTTTATGGATATATACAAAGACGTCAATTGAAAAAAGGTAAAACGAAACGAAGTGCAGCTGGTTTGCAGTCTTTCCAGCTTCAGTTTGAAGTGATTGTGTTAACTGGGTTGTTGGCTCTCTGAACAGTGTCCTGACGAGAGCACATTTTCTATACCTCATTAGCTCATTGTCATGGATATATCCAAATAAATGTCACTAGAAAACAGCTTATGCAAATGCAGCTACTTTGTTGTTATTCTGGCTGCACCGTTTGACCTCACTGAAATTTGCCGTAGTTGGCTAGCTAGCGAGCAAGGGAAAATAATTTTGCAAGTTTGATGAGCCAGCCAGTATGGCAATGGAACATTTACAACGAATGACTGGGTCTCGTCTATAGATACTGAACAAAAACACTGAATGACTGGGTTGAGTCTCTGGCAACCGAACCGATAGAACGACCAGCCGGCTTGGGTAGCAACCCTAGATTTGTGGAAGGATGAAATAGTATGAATAAATACTTGTCTCGGGCCTAACACCCATGCCAATATATCCTCCAAAAACCGGCCTTTCGGGCATTATCACTTAATGATAATACGCTAAGCATTCTAAGCTACGGGAGTGTCTACCCCTGTAGCTCAGTTGGTAGAGCATGGCGCTTGCAACGCCAGGGTTGTGGGTTCGTTTCCCACGGGGGGCCTGTATGAAAATGTATGCACTCACTAACTGTAAGTCGCTCTGGATAAGAGCGTCTGCTAAAATGACTAAAATGTAAAATTTAAATTTTATTCTCAAAGGAAGCGTGTCATCCTCTTAGATCCATTAGGCTACTTTATATCCCGCAGTTTTTTTTTTTTTTTTTGTTCCCAAGGCAAAGCCTATAAAAGCGCTGGTCTAGCTACTCAGGTATAACAATCATCACTCCCAGATGCAGACGATCCACTTCTCGCCCAGTCCGCAGAAGGCGTAGAGCCATTCGGACCGTGAGGCGAAAGAGGAGATTTGGCAGTAGGAGACGTTTGGGCTCTTGCTAGTGGTTAGATGAATGTTATTTGGGCTGCAAAGCTCACTGGGCAAAATGCTTCTAAATAGAAATTAGGGCCTTTAACTAACTTGGATTACTTTCTCTTGTTATTATTAGATGATTTAGTTAATTTTCTTGGTTTTTGTGTTTGGAATGGCACCGTTACTACGGGAGATGATGCTGTTTATAAAGCATTTGATGTAAGCGTTGGTAGATCAATTTTGAAACTATAGAATGACTAGGCCTTATTACCCCTAATGTTCATTGACTAGACATTCAATATTACCATGGCAATTATGCATCACAATAGTAATGTTAATTTTTTTGCAACCTCCAGCAGTCCATTGTCTTACGTCAGATAGCGTGTCGATTCCGCCTCCACCTATTGCGGGACGAGAGCCGCAAAGAAGGGACGCCATCTGACATGAGACAATGGCAATCCACAGTACAGTATCAACTGCGATGCTGCGCTTAGTCTATGGCGGGCCCTTGCGTAAAATCTTCAACAGCCTCTGCCCTGTTTCTCTTAAACTAACCCTCAAATCCTTTCCAATAATGTTGTCAAATAAAGCAAGGTATATAATGTGCCACCAAACTCCTGTCATCCACAGAAAAGTATAAATCAACTTTTCAAAGTGCTGGTAGTGTGTTCAGATTTTTATCGCCTGAAGCATGTGCACAAGATGAAAATACATGCTCTTGCTCATGTTTACATGGTTCTGCACGTTTCAGGTGATAGAAATCTGAACTCACTACCAGCGCTTTGATAAGGTTATTTAATTCTACTTTGAGACATGATGGAGCCGGAGGGGATGGCTGCCGTTTTTTATGGACTCTTAACCAACTGTGCTATTTTGTTAGTTTTTTCGCATTGTTTTGTACAAAATGTTGCTGCTACTGTCTCTTAAGACCGAAAAGAGCTTCTAGACATCAGAACAGTGATTATGCACCTTGAACTGGACTAATAATTTTTCTTTAATGAATCGGACGAGAGGGATGTGCTCCAGACACCCGACAGGGCCCTCATCCCCGTCATTCGCAGTAGAAAGAAAAGGAGATATCGCAGAAGGAGATCGGGGTGCCTGGTAAGGAGCCGGCGACGAGTGGCTTATCTGCCTTTGCCATCGATACTATTGGCCAACTTACAATCACTTGATGGTAAAGTGGACGAACTACAAGTACGTATATCCTACCAACGGGACATTAAACTGTAATATCTTATGTTTCACAGAGTCGTGGCTGAACGAAGACATAACATACAGCTGCCGGGTTATACAATGTATCGGCAGGCTAGAACAGCAGCCTCTGGTAAGACAACGGTGGCTGGTCTATGTATATTTGTAAACAACAGCTGGGGCACGATATTTAAGGAAGTCTCAAGGTTTTGCTTGCCTGAGGTAGAGTATGTCATGATAAGCTGAAGACTACACTATCTACCGAGAGTTTATCTATATTCTTCGTAGCTGTCTATATACCACCACAAACCGATGCTGGCACTAAGACCGCACTCAATGAACTGTGTACGCTATAAGCAAACAGGAAAATGCTCATCCAGTCGGTGCTCCTAGTGGCCGGGGACTTTTATGCAGGGAAACTTAAATCAGTTTTACCTAATTTCTACCAGGATGTTAAATGTGCAACCAGAGGGGAAAAAAGCTCTAGACCACCTTTACTCCACACACCGGAGACGCGTACAAAGCTCTCCCTCGCCCTCCATTTGGCAAATCTGACCATAATTCTATCCTCCTGATTCCTACTTACAAGCAAAAACTAAAGCAGGAAGCACCAGTGACTCAGTCAATAAAAAAGTGGTCAGATGGAACAGATGCTAAGCTACAGGACCGTTTTGCTAGCACAGACTGGAATATGTTCCAGGATTCTTCCGATTGCATTGAGGAGTACATCACATCAGTCACTGGCTTCATCAATAAGTGCATCGATGACGTCGTCCCCACAGTGACTGTACGTACATACCCCAACCAGAAGCCATGGATTACAGGCAACATCCGCACTGAGCTAAAGGGTAGAGCTGTCGCTTTCAAGGAGCGGGGCTGTAACCCGGAAGCTTATAAGAAATCCCGCTATGACCTCCGACGAACCATCAAACAGGCAAAGCGTCAATACAGGACTAAGATCGAATCGTACTACACCGGCTCCGACGCTCGTTGGATCTGGCAGGGCTTGCAAACTATTACACACTACAAAGGGAAGCACAGCCGCGAGCTGCCCAGTGACACGAGCCTACCAGATGAACTAAATTACTTCTATGCTCGCTTCGAGGCAAGTAACACTGAAACATGCATGAGAGCATCAGCTGTTCCGGACGACTGTGTGATCACGCTCTCCATAGCGGATGTGAGTAAGACCTTTAAACAGGTCAACATTCACAAGGGATTACCAGGACGTGTACTCCGAGCTTGCGCTGACCAACTGGCAAGTGTCTACACTGACATTTTCAACCTCTCCCTGACCAAGTCTGTAATACCTACATGTTTCAAGCAGACCATCATAGTCCCTGTGCCCAAGAACACGAAGGTAACCTGCCTAAATGACTACCGACCCGTAGCACTCACATCTGTAGTCATGAAGTGCTTTGAAAGGCTACTCATGGCTCACGTCAATACCATTATCCCAGAAACCCTAGACCCACTCCAATTAGCATACCGCCCCAACAGATCCACAGAGGATGTAATCTCTATTGCGCTCCACACTGCCCTTTCACACCTGGACAAAAGGAACACCTATGTGAGATTGCTATTCATTGACTACAGATCAGTGTTCAACCCCATAGTGCCCTCAAAGCTCATCACTAAGCTAAGGACCCTGGGACTAAACACCTCCCTCTGCAACTGGATCCTGGACTTCCTGACGGGCCGCCCCAGGTGGGAAGGGTAGGTAACAACACATCCACGCTGATCTTCAACACAGGGGCGCCTCAGGGGTGCGTGCTCAGTTCCCTCCTGTACTCCCTGTTCACTCATAACTGCATGGCCAGGCACAACTCCAACACCATCATTTAAGTTTGCCGATGACACAACAGTGGTAGACCTGATCACCGACAATGATGAGACAGGCTATAGGGAGGAGGTCAGAGACCTGGCCGTGTGGTGCCAGGACAACAACCTCTCCCTCAACGTGATCAAGATAAAGGAGATGATTGTGGACTACAGGAAAAATAAGAGGACCGAGCACGCCCCCATTCTCATCGACGGGGCTGTAGTGGAGCAGGTTGAGCGCTTCAAGTTCCTTGGTGTCCACATCACCAACAAACTAACATGGTCCAAGCACACCAAATACAGTCGTGTAGAGGGCACGACAAAACCTATGGAGACCTGAAAAGATTTGGCATGGGTCCTCAGATCCTCAAAAGGTTCTACAGCTGCACCATCGAGAGCGTCCTGACTGGTTGCATCACTGCCTGGTAATGCAACTGCTCTGCCTCTGACCGCAAGGCACTACAGAGGGTAGTGCGTACGGCCCAGTACATCACTGGGGCCAAGCTTCCTGCCATCCAGGACCTCTATACCAGGCGGTGTCAGATGAAAGCCCTAAAAATTGTCAAATACTCCAGCCACCCTAGTCATAGACTGTTCTCTCTGCTACCGCACGGCAAACGGTACCGGAGCGCCAAGTCTAGGTCCAAGAGGCTTGTAGTCCTGTGTAGCTCAGTTGGTAGAGCATGGCGTTTGCAACGCCAGGGTTGTGGGTTCCTTTCCCACGGGGGACCAGTATGGAAGAAAAAAATAATTCTGCACTCACTAACTGTAAGTCGCTCTGGATAAGAGCAGCTGCTAAATGACTAAAATGTAAATGTAACAGCTTCTACCCCCAAGCCATAAGACTCCTGATCATCTAATCAAATGGCTACCCAGACTATTTGCATTGCCCCCCCCCCCCCCCCCCCCCCTTTACGCTGCTGCTACTCTCTGTTTATTATCTATGCATAGTCACTTTAATAACGCTACCTACGTGTACATATTACCTCAATTACCTCGACTAACCGGTGCCCCCGCACATTGACTCGGTACCGGTACCCCCTGTATATATAGCCTCGCTATTGTTAATTTACTGCTGCTCTTCAATTATCTGTTACTTTTATTTTCATATTATTTTATATTGTATTTTGTGATTGTTTTTCTTTCTTAAAACTGCATTGTTGGTTAAGGGCTTGTAAGTAAGCATTTCACTGTAAGGTCTACACCTGTTGTATTCGGTGTGTGTGATAAAATAAAATGTGATTTGATTTCCTGTGGATATATTGTCTCACATTCCTACCGTCAAAGGGACCAACCGCACGGACAAACAGTAAAGTAAGTAAAAAATATAATTTTATTCAACATTCTTCGTGAGAAAATTTTACAAACAAATGTATGGCATTAATCTCGGCCTGTGAACCAGAGGTATCACAGTCTCAGGCAAGGTAAAATCCAATACAACACATCAGGGTGAAACCCTTTGTATTTTCAAGTATTGTGGTGGCAGCATCATGTTATAGGGATGCTTGTCACTGGCAGGGACATTGTTGTGTTCGTGAGTGGTCCAGTCTCAGTCCTGACTTCAATCTGCCTGAAAATCAATAAGGTTTGAATATTGCTGTCCAATGTTTCCAAACCAAATGTACTGAGCCTAACCAATTTTGACAAAAACAATGGATATACAGGTAACTGCCAAAAAAGACGAAAGAGAAGAAATGTAGTCGAGCAGAGGACAGGGGTCACACGAGCGCAGGCCAACCTGGTGCGCACAAATTAAACTTGAGAGCTTACAAGTGTGACTGAGCGAGCAGAACCGCATTGCCGTACACAGTAAATTAATTTGAGACCAGAGACTTTTGTTCCCCTGAAGAAATACTTAATAATATAATAATTTGCCATTTAGCAGACGCTTTTATCCAAAGCGACTTACAGTCGTGTGTGCATACATTTTTACGTATGGGTGGTCCCGGGGATCGAACCCACTACCCTGGCGTTACAAGCGCCATGCTCTACCAACTGAGCTACAGAGGACCACACACCATATACTTCAAGACTCTGCACTCACAAATACTCTGTGTCCCCACAGATGTCTCCTCTCCCACTCACCAATTTTCCAGATTGCTCTCCAAAATCCATTTTGCTCTCGCAACTGCTTACTATCTTTTTATAACGGGAAAGTTCTAGCCAATGAACACAGCCTGTAGCAGTCTACTGATACACAAATGGTCAGGTTTTTGGACCAGTCATGGCTTGACTGCTCTCTAACTGCATTTTTGACCACAGCAGATGAAAGGGGATGGTGAAAGGTGAACGATGGCTGACGAAGATGTAAGTTCGATTCGTTTTTCACTAGAGAAACCAACCAGCTAGCTAGCTAGCTAGCTAATCAACTATAATTTCAAAATTGAAGTAGGTAGTTATTTGGTCTTTTGTTATTAAAGCAGGCTAATGATGAGCCAAGCTAGGTTAACGTCAGTTAGCTAGGATACGAATTAGCTAATGTTAGTCAGCTAACATTTAACCCTGTGGTTTAACCAAAGGTGGTTTCGTTTTCTAAACAGTCCTGGTTTAACTAAGAGCATTGTAGCTAAGTCGAGGAAGGGTTTAGTAGAGGAGGAGGACTTGGAAGACCAGCATGACTGAGTGGCAGAAGAGGGGGGAGCAGATTTGGTTGACTCACGTTACTCCTCTGTAGCTCAGTTGGTAGAGCATGGCGCTTGTAACGCCAGGGTAGTGGGTTCGATCCCCGGGACCACCCATACGTAAAAATGTATGCGCACATGACTGTCTGCTAAATGGCATATTATTATTATTATTACTGAGGAATGTGATTGTCATTACGACTTGATGCGGTGGTACCTATAATATATATATATATACTTTTTTTAATCTATGATGCGTGTATGTTTATTTTAATTGAAATGTATGTAAAAAAAAAACAACAAAGCAAAACAAAAAAACCTTTAATGCTGTGTCTTAAGTTTTTACAGTACGTCTGATATTTGTCTCAAACATTGTTTCCCCCTGCTGCTGTCGTGGTTGGGCCAGGTCTCTCATGAAAGAGATTTTATCTCAATGAGACTAACTTGAATTAATAAATAAAGGTAAATACAATTAAAAGGGGCCAGGGTTTCAGTCTAGAAGCACAGTTTCTACTGCTCCTACCGTTTTGCTTAGGTACTGTAGTTTAGCTGACTCCTGGCCCAGAAAGCCAATTTCCATTGACGGACAGATTTGAAAATTCCTTATAAGACACTTTAGTCATCACCTTTTTGCACAAAACATCCATTGAATTATTCAATTAATTGTTGCTGAGGCCAAATGTATTTATTATAACTTTTTTTTATCATACAGACTAAGATATCTTATATTCATCCAATGTTTTCGTTGTTGCTTGCGCTGAGTGCTAGTACACGTGATGTTGGTTCGTATAAACTGGATGCAACCTGGAATCGGCGTGAGTAGATTACCTTGAAAACAACAGTCGGACATCTTGGACGCAGTCTCCAGTTCTTATTATACCTGGGGGGGAGAACAGACAGACAGGGAAAGTGAAGACCCTCACTGGGGAAGAGGGCTGTGATTGAGGAGGGGGAGCCAAAAGGGTCAGGCTCCGAACCAAATGATAGGCAATATTGTAAACCGCTAGCCGCATAATTTGAGACTTTTACTCTTGTCAGTTTTTGTGCAGTTACAGTAAATGAGAATGACCTCAAACCAGTTCTCTCTCCATCCCAGTTTCCATGCAGGTCCACTGTCACTAATACAGTGAGGGGGAAAAAGTATTTGATCCCCCTCTCAATTAGAAAGATTTCTGGCTCCTAGGTGTCTTTTATACAGGTAACGAGCTGAAATTAGGAGCACACTCTTAAAGGGAGTGCTCCTAATCTTAGCTTGTTACCTGTATAAAAGACACCTGTCCACAGAAGCAATCAATCAATCAGATTCCAAACTCTCCACCATGGCCAAGACCAAAGAGCTCTCCAAGGATGTCAGGGACAAGATTGTAGGCCTTCACAAGGCTGGAATGGGCTACAACACCATCGCCAAGCAGCTTGGTGAGAAGGTGACAACAGTTGGTGCGATTATTCGCAAATGGAAGAAACCCAAAATAACTGTCAATCTCCCTCGGCCTGGGGCTCCATACAAGATCTCACCTCTTGGAGTTGCAATGATCATGAGAACGGTGAGGAATCAGCCCAGAACTACACGGGAGGATCTTGTCAATGATCTCAAGGCAGCTGGGACCATAGTCACCAAGAAAACAATTGGTAACACACTACGCCGTGAAGAACTGAAATCCTGCAGCGCCCGCAAGGTCCCCCTGCTCAAGAAAGCACATATACATGCCTGTCTGAAGTTTGCCAATGAACATCTGAATGATTCAGAGGAGAACTAGGTGAAAGTGTTGTGGTCAGATGAGACCAAAATGGAGCTCTTTGGCATCAACTCAACTCGCCGTGTTTGGAGGAGGAGGAATGCTGCCTATGACCCCAAGAACACCATCCCCACCGTCAAACATGGAGGTGGAAACATTATGCTTTGAAGGGTGTTATTCTACTAAGAGGACAGGACAACTTCACCGCATCAAAGAGACGATGGACGGGGCCATGTACCGTCAAATCTTGGGTGAGAACCACCTTCCCTCAGCCAGGGCATTGAAAATGGGTCGTGGATGGGTATTCCAGCATGACAATGACCCAAAACACACAGCCAAGGCAACAAAGGAGTGGCTCAAGAACAAGCACATTAAGGTCCTGGAGTGGACTAGCCAGTCTCCAGACCTTAATCCCATAGAAAATCTGTGGAGGGAGCTGAAGGTTCGATTTGCCAAACGTCAGCCTCGAAACCTTAATGACTTGGAGAAGATCTGCAAAGAGGAGTGGGACAAAATCCCTCCTGAGATGTGTGCAAACCTGGTGGCCAACTACAAGAAACGTCTGACCTCTGTGATTGCCACCAAGTACTAAGTCATGTTTTGCAGAGGGGTCAAATACTTATTTCCCTCATTAAAATGCAAATCAATTCATAACATTTTTGACATGCGTTTTTCTGGATTTTGTTTTTGTTATTCTGTCTCTCACTGTTCAAATAAACCTACCATTAAAATTATAGACTGATCATGTCTTTGCCAGTGGGCAAATGTACAAAATCAGCAGGGGATCAAATACTTGTATCCCTCACTGTATGATATAAACTCCCAGGCCCTGTAAACAAATATAACCATCTTCTGAACATATAGCAGCAGTCCCCAGAGTGCTAAATTTGATAGCTGATCAGGGGATTAGGGAACCTAATAGTAACTATAACACAGTTTACCTGCACCCCTGTGAAGTTGACCATTGACTCCATGTTATTTCCATTGAAAATAGTAACCTGCAAAAAGACATATGACAACAATGTCTGGTGCAGATCAGAGTGTTTGTGTTGTAAACTGATAGAGGTAGTGCTAATTAAATCCTTACATAGCCCAGGGCCTTGTCTCCTCGCGGCACGCCTGTGACATAATCTGTAGATGAGGGAGATGTAGAAACATAATACATTACAAATCTACCAGCATGTGAAGAGGATAATTGCTGCTTGGAAAATCTTTGAAAAGCACCAGCCCTACAACTTGTGCATCGCCGCTCTGTCAGACAAGAGGGGAGTAAGTCTGCAGAGTTGAGAACCATTATTCATATTTCAGAGCCCAGCTCTGCAGCACTACCAATTGTTTCAGATGCTAGACTGAGCCTCACCGTCGTCCCTTTCACCATTAAAGTCTCCAACAGCCACAGAGTAACCTAACAGACACCAAGACACACAGGTGGGGATGTTAGAGGCATATAAATATAATTTATAGACATACAGTGCCCCCCAATATGTATTTGGGCAGTGAAGCTAAAGTTTTGGCTCTATACTCCAGCATTTGGGATTTAACTTGAAATGATGAATAGAAAAATAATACTTTATTAAATCAATACAAGACACCAAATTGGTCTTCTACTGTATCCAACCCCTTCAATATACACACACATACAGTGCTTTGCTAAAGTATTCATCCCCCTTGGCGTTTTTCCTATTTTGTTGCATTACAACCTGTAATTTAAATTGACTTTTAATTGGATTTCATGTAATGGACATACACAAAATAGTCCAAATTGGTGAAGTGAAATTGAAAAAATAACTAGTTTCAAAAAGTAAATAACGGTAAAGTGGTGCGTGCATATGTATTCACCCCCTTTGCTAAGATCTGGTGCAACCAATTACCGTCAGAAGTCACATATTTAGTTAAATAAAGTCCACCTGTGTGCAATCTAAGTGTCACATGATCTGTCACATGATCTCAGTATATATACACCTGTTCTGAAAGGCCCCAGAGTCTGCAACACCACTAAGCAAGGGGCACCACCAAGCAAGCGGCACCATGAAGACCAAGGAGCTCTCCAAACAGGTCAGGGACAAAGTTGTGGAGAAGTACAGATCAGGGTTGGGTTATAAAAAATAACAAACTTTGAACATCCCACGGAGCACCATTAAATTCATTATTAAAAAATGGAAAGAATATGCCAAGAGAGGGCCGCCCACCAAAATTCACAGACCAGGCAAGGAGGGCATTAATCAGAGAGGCAACAAAAGAGACCAAAGATAACCCAGAAGGAGCTGCAAAGCTCCACAGCGGAGATTGGCGTATCTGTCCTTTACGGAAGAGTGTCCAGAAAAACACCATTGCTTAAAGAAAAAAATAAGCAAACACGTTTGGTGTTGTGGGAGACTCCCCAAACATATGGAAGAAGGTACTCTGGTCAGATGAGACTAAAATCGAGCTTTTTGGCCATCAAGGAAAACACTATGTCTGGCGCAAACCAACCTCTCATCACCCCGAGAACACCTTCCCCACAGTGAACCATGGTGGTGGCAGCATCATGATGTTTTTCATCGGCAGGGACTGGGAAACTGGTCAGAATTGAAGGAATGATGGATGGCGCTAAATACAGGGAAATTCTTGAGGGAAACCCGTTTGTCTTCCGGAGATTTGAGACTGGGACGGAGGTTCACCTTCCCGCAGGACAATGACCCTAAGCATACTGCTAAAGCAACACTCGAGTGGTTTAAGGGGAAACATTTAAATGTCTTGGAATGGCCTAGTCAAAGCACAGACCTCAATCCAATTGAGAATCTGTGGTATGACTTAAAGATTGCTGTACACCAGTGGAACCTATCCAACTTGAAGGAGCTGGAGCAGTTTTGCCTTGAAGAATGGGCAAAAATCCCAGTGGCTAGATGTGCCAAGCTTATAGAGACATACCCCAAGAGACTTACAGCTGTAATTGCTGCAAAAGGTGGCTCTACAAAGTATTGACTTTGGGGGGGGGGGGTTTCTAGTTTTTTTTTCTAGTTTTTTTTTTGTTTCACAATAAAAAAGATTTTGCATCTTCAAAGTGGTAGGCATGTTGTGTAAATCAAATGATACATACCCCCCAAAAAATCAATTTTAATTCCCGGTTGTAAGGCAACAAAATAGGAAAAATGCCAAGGGGGGTGAATACTTTCGCAAGCCACTGTACGTACACACATTTGATTGGAGAGGTTGGAGCAGTGGCCAGTTACTAGTGCAACACCCAGTGAGCTGTTTAGGGGTTACATGATGGCAGCCGGCCCACTCCTGACCAGATTTTTTCGATTTTGGACATGGGATTCGAACCGGCAACCGTCCGGTTCCTGGCCCAGTTCTCTAACCTCTAGACTACCTGCCACCCAGAATATGAAGTGACAGTACAAAATGTCACCTATTAATTGAGGGTATTTTCATAGATACATGTTTTACTATTTAGAAATTAAGTTGTCTAAACACTAAAGGTTAGTATTCAGTGAAGTGTTCAGAAACATACTCTCTGCTAACTTATTTTAAACCAAATATAAAATGTTTAGTACACCGTTAAGAGAGAGCTCTTACCTAAATAGCTGTCATCAAACTGTGCGCTAGCTGGTTTGGTTGAGAGCTGGTTACTATAAGGAGTGTTGAACTGGTTATTGAAGCGGTTTAAGATTTCACATATGTCGTCCGAGATCAATTGTCCTGGAAGGACAAAACAACAATCAAGACTGGACTATTGTGTTTAAAATTGACAGGACATGGCCTGACTTCTGAATACAAACACATGCCAGGTTGTCTATATTTTCTTAAGAGGTTAGCACTTTGCAAACATCCAAGCTGTACTCCAATGCCCATATATAGACATTGCATTGGACAGTCTGAACATTGCCTTACTGTTAGCTCAGAGTCTTTAAACACTGTATGTGTCATGCATTTAGACTTCAAGTCGAGTCACCATCCCTCCACTTCTACTTGTCCATTATTAGGTTTCTTACCTTGCCAATAAAAACTGCCAGGTCCCCCAAAAACAACTCGACTATTCTGTTTTAGGAAAGGCAGACAACATGATTGTTTTCAGATGTTAGCTAGATTAATGGACCGAATAACCCTATGCAAACCAAACAGAAAAGGTGCAAGTAAAAACTGTGGTATTGTAGCAATCTGCACAAACTGCCAAAGAGGGTTGGTTATAGGAATAAAGTTTTGGGTGATGTTTTGGTGTTTAAACACCACCATACCCTCCTCCGCACACTCCACTGGCTTCCAGTTGAAGCTCGCATCCGCTACAAGACCATGGTGCTTGCCTATGGAGCAGTGAGGGGAACGGCACCTCTGTACCTTCAGGCTCTGATCAGTCCCTACACCCAAACGAGGGCATTGCGTTCATCCACCTCTGGCCTGCTGGCTCCCCTTCCTCTGAGGAAGCATAGCTCCCGCTCAGCCCAGTCAAAACTGTTCGCTGCTCTGGCACCCCAATGGTGGAACAAGCTCCCTCACGACGCCAGGACAGCGGAGTCACTCACCACCTTCCGGAGACATTTGAAACCCCACCTCTTTAAGGAATACCTGGGATAGGATAAAGTATTCCTTCTAACCCCCCCCCCCCCCCCCCCCCCAAATTGTAAAGTGGTTATCCCACTGGCTATAGGGTGAACGCACCAATTTGTGAGTCGCTCTGGCTAAGAGCGTCTGCTAAATGACGTTAATGTGCCCTTGAGCAAGGCACTTAACCCTAATTGCTCCTGTAAGTCGCTCTGGATAAGAGCGTCTGCTAAATGACTAAAATGTAATGTAAATGTCTTTACGAAGTCCACACTGAATCCTGCCTGACAGAAGCCTTGGCCTTCTGGCGTGTTTGACGCTGTGAACATGACACACACGTATGCACGCACAGAGACAGCAAATTAAACATAGAAGACAAAAAACTCATCACAGCTGCATGGCACAAAATAAAATGTGTATTTAGCATTTCAAATACACCAGTAAAGCTTATTTGAGAGACTTGTAACAATACATCTACAAGACAGAATACCATGTTAAAAGTATTAGGACATTTGGGTTCATCTGCTACAAAATAAAAAGTTTGTTAGTACTGGAAAGTAAGCACATGCACTGCTTAGTGATCAGTAAACACCACATAAATGTTGACATGTGCAGATAGAGGGAATGTGTCATATTTCACAACCAATATCTTTCTAGAAACACAACCTTTGCCCAGCACAGCAACTGATATTTGGGTGTAACAATCTGCAAATATGAATCCTCTTACTGCATATTCAGTTGCAAACCAATGGTATCACAATTCAAGATTAATGGAGTACAGTTATGCACATACAGTGGGGAGAACAAGTATTTGATACACTGCCGATTTTGCAGGTTTTCCTACTTACAAAGCATGTAGAGGTCTGTAATTTTTATCATAGGTACACTTCAACTGTGAGAGACGGAATCTAAAACAAAAATCCAGAAAATCACATTGTATGATTTTTAAGTAATTAATTTGCATTTTATTGCATGACATAAGTATTTGATCACCTACCAACCAGTAAGAATTCCGGCTCTCACAGACCTGTTAGTTTTTCTTTAAGAAGCCCTCCTGTTCTCCACTCATTACCTGTATTAACTGCACCTGTTTGAACTTGTTACCTGTATAAAAGACACCTGTCCACACACTCAATCAAACAGACTCCAACCTCTCCACAATGGCCAAGACCAGAGAGCTGTGTAAGGACATCAGGGATAAAATTGTAGACCTGCACAAGGCTGGGATGGGCTACAGGACAATAGGCAAGCAGCTTGGTGAGAAGGCAATAACTGTTGGCGCAATTATTAGAAAATGGAAGAAGTTCAAGATGACGGTCAATCACCCTCGGTCTGGGGCTCCATGCAAGATCTCACCTCGTGGGGCATCAATGATCATGAGGAAGGTGAGGGATCAGCCCAGAACTACACGGCAGGACCTGGTCAATGACCTGAAGAGAGCTGGGACCACAGTCTCAAAGAAAACCATTAGTAACACACTACGCCGTCATGGATTAAAATCCTGCAGCACACACAAGGTCCCCCTGCTCAAGCCAGCGCATGTCCAGGCCCGTCTGTTGTTTGCCAATGACGATCTGGATGATCCAGAGGAGGAATGGGAGAAGGTCATGTGGTCTGATGAGACAGAAATAGAGCTTTTTGGTCTAAACTCCACTTGCTGTGTTTGGAGGAAGAAGAAGGATGAGTACAACCCCAAGAACACCATCCCAACCATGAAGCATGGAGGTGGAAACATCATTCTTTGGGGATGCTTTTCTGCAAAGGGGACAGGACGACTGCACCGTATTGAGGGGAGGATGGATGGGGCCATGTATCGCGAGATCTTGGCCAACAACCTCCTTCCCTCAGTAAGAGCATTGAAGATGGGTCGTGGCTCGGTCTTCCAGCATGACAACGACCCGAAACACACAGCCAGGGCAACTAAGGAGTGGCTCCGTAAGAAGCATCTCAAGGTCCTGGAGTGGCCTAGCCAGTCTCCAGACCTGAACACAATCGAAAATCTTTGGAGGGAGCTGAAAGTCCGTATTGCCCAGCGACAGCCCCGAAACCTGAAGGATCTGGAGAAGGTCTGTATGGAGGAGTGGCCCGAAATCTATGCTGCAGTGTGTGCAAACCTGGTCAAGACCTACAGGAAACGTATGATCTCTGTAATTGCAAACAAAGGTTTCTGTACCAAATATTAAGTTCTGCTTTTCTGATGTATCAAATACTTATGTCATGCAATAAAATGCTAATTATTTACTTAAAAATCATACAATGTGATTTTCTGGATTTTTGTTTTAGATTCCGTCTCTCACAGTTGAAGTGTACCTATGATAAAAATTACAGACCTTTACATGCTTTGTAAGTAGGAAAACCTGCAAAATCGGCAGTGTATCAAATACTTGTTCTCCCCACTGTACGTACATGTACGACAGGGGGAATATTCCACAATCTTCCCACCCTTCTTCAGAAAGCATGTTCCAACAGGCTCCCTTTCTGAAAGGCCAAATGTACTCCACTGGTAAAGAGGTGCACAGGCCTAGGAGAAAAAACACACACAAAAAAAACAAAAAACTGATTAAGTGGCAAATAAAACAGAATGCTTCATTTACACAGCCACTCTAATTCCAATATATTGGCATATCTGATACATATCTGATCTTTTCCCCAATATGTAAACAGAAAAAGGGAGATTCAAATAAATCAAATCAAATTTGATTTGTCACATGCGCCGAATACAACAACCTTACCGTGAAATGCTTACTTACAAGCCCTTAACCAACAATGCAGTTTTAATAAAATATAGTTAAGAAAATATTTACTAAATAAAAGAAAGTTTAAAAAAATTAAGTAACACAATAAAATAACAATAATGAGGGCCTTCCTCTGACACCGCCTAGTATATAGGTCCTGGATGGCAGGAAGCTTGGCCCCAGTGATATACTGGGCCGTACACACTACCCTCTGTAGTGCCTTACAGTCAGATGCCGAGCAGTTGCCATACCAGGCAGTGATGCAACCGGTCAGGATGCTCTCGATGGTGCAGCTGTAGAACCTTTTGAGGATCTGGTGACCCAAATCTTTTCAGTCTCCTGAGGGGGAAAAGGCGTTGTCATGCCCTCAATACTTCCTTGGTGTGTTTAGACCATGATAGTTTGTTGGTGATGTGGACACCAAGGAACTTGAAACTCTCGACCCGCTCCACTACAGCCCCGTCGATGTGAATAGGGGCATGTTCGGCCCTCCTTTTCCTGTAGTCCACGATCATCTCCTTTGTCTTGCTCACATTGGGGGAGAGGTTGTTGTCCTGGCACCACAGTCCCCACTGTTCCAAAGGGTGTATTTTTACCTTTTTTTTTATTTTTATCTGATTCTACTGCTTGCATCAGTTACCCGATGTGGAATAGAGTTCCATGTAGTCATGGCTCTATGTAGTACTGTGCGCCTCCCATAGTCCGTTCTGGACTTGGGGGCTGTGAAGAGACCTCTGGTGGCATGTCTTGTGGGGTATGCATGGGTGTCCGAGCTGTGTGCCAGTATTCCAAACAGACAGCTCGGTACATTCAGCTCGTCGACACCTCTCACAAAAACAAGCAGTGATGAGGTCAATCTCTCTTCCACTCTGAGCCAGGAGAGACTGACATGCATGTCATCAATGTTAGCTCTCCGTGTACTTTTACAGGCCAGCCGTGCTGCCACGTTCTAAGCCAACTGCAATTTTCCCAAGTCCCTCATTGTGGCACCTGACCACACTACTGAACAGTAGGGCCTGTAGGACCTGCCTTGTTGATAGTGTTGTTAGAAGGCAGAGCAGTGCTTAATAATGGACATACTTCTACCCATCTTAGCTACTGTTGTAGCAATATGCTTTGACCATGACAGTCTACAATCCAGGGTTACTCCAAGCAGTTCAGTCACCTCAACTTGCTGAATTTCCACATTATTCATTTCGAGATGTAGTTGAGGTTTATGGTTTAGTGAATGATTTGACCCAAATACAATACTTTTAGTTTTGGAAATATTTAGGACTAACTTCTTGTGTTGTGACAAGGTATACAGACGATAGCCCTATTTGGTAAAAGACCAAGTCCATATTATGGTAAAACAGCTCAAATAAGCAAAGAGAAACGACAGTCCATCATTACTTTAAGACATGAAGGTCAGTCAATACGGAAC